GCAAATGGTGGCAGGAGATGGATCTGCTCACTTCCATGTCCCTGGAACTTCCCAGAGGAAAACATGCTTATTAGAAATGACAGGTGAACCGAATGCTCATGAAAAAAACTCATCAGGAGAAAGTGAAAACCTAATCGTCTCCTTTCCCATTGTGTGCCTTCACTGCCTACATCTAGTTGTGTTCTAACTACTGCAGAAAAGGTGGCTTTTGCTGGGGAAAGAGAAATAGGTGAACCCTCTATTGTCTTTGAGCCAAATGCCTCTCACTCTCAGGATCACCCACTTTTTAGGCTGGTCTTTTCAAACCTGCACATTCAGAGGCCCACCTGGGTCATGGTAGGTTCAGGTTGAGAGAAATGAAGCAGCCTACGTAGACTAGGTGTATGGGAAGGTCTCTTCTTTGGGGCCCCAGTTTCTACATCCTGTGTCCTCTCTCAGATTCGAAAGGGCCCGGAGAATCTTCTCATCTAGGCAACCGAGGAGTTGTGGCTCACATACCTGCTTGTTCCCTGGGTGGGAAACCCATAGGAGTTTAGCCAAAGCTCAAGGAAGCTCCGATTACCTGAGTTCTCTGCCTCCTCCTGCAGCACCCAGCGCAGGGGTTCCAGCTCTCGTGGCTGGATGAAGCTTCAGAGTCCCAGATGCTCACATTATTCCATCTGAGACATGGGGCAACAAGTGCAACACTTAGAACTTTAAAAAACTGATTGCACCTGTAACTGTATTAAAAGTGCAAGATGCAGGAGGAAGTTTTACATAAGAAAGTGTTTATTATTTTTATTTCCAGTACATCAGCATTTTAGGAATCAGATACACATTTTTAAGGAAATGAGGAAAAATTAGGTATCAGTTACAATGAGATGAATTTTCAAAAGTGCAAAGAAAATGGCCAATTAAACCTATTTGAGGTTTCAAACTGACATTCTGCATAGGTACTAATTAGGGTTCAAGATCCTCTTTTTGATGTGTTTTTCACAATTATCTCTTGGGGGAAAAAAACTCCTTGAAAAGGATGACAACTAAAAGTAAGACAACTTTCTTCACATAGTAGGCCAGTGATGGGGAAGGAAGAATACACTGATGTGAACTGAACTTAATTATATTCAAAGATCTGGTCCCAGCACAGGCTCTACCCATAAGGGTATCTCCACTTGACCCCTCCTGGAGGCGGCCCACAATGTCCGCTTCTTGCTGGCCTTCTCCGGTGGCATGCCACTTCGACATGCTAACGATACATACACTCAGCTTTTGTGTCAAACTGCTCTTACATAGTGAAGATTAGCAAAGATCTAGAAATGCTTTGTCCCCCAACATGTATCAGTGTGTTTGAAGTTGGGGGTGGTGTTCAGATGCGCCCCCTTTTCTTTCTCCTCCACCATTGCTCTTCTCTTTCCTTTTTGTTACAACTGTTCCCCCAATTGTCCTTATTCTCCTTTGTAGATATCCTCCGCCCTCTTCTCTTTTGTTCCTTTATCTTCTGTGATGAATAAGAACCCTCGATACTTGTTATTGCTGGTCATAAAGAGAAAACCTGTCACCTCTGAAGATGTGAGGGATGGGGGGAAGGGGTAAGTACAAGTAGGGGGACAGCACTTTGTAAACCCTCAGGGGGCCATGCAAAGATTTTGCTCATTTTGATTCCTTTTTTTCTCCACCTGATTGGAGCAAAGGCATTTCTCTCTCTCAGTCTAGAACTAAATGACTTGACCTCTCTGCATCTCTGTTACCTCCTCTATAAAAGGAGGTAGATCTACCTCTAGCATTGTTTTAATTGACTGATCCATCAATAAGTATTTGTTCCACTGATCTAAGTACTTCAGGTAACAAAACCAAAGATCTGCACAGTTAGATCCCTCAAGAACTGTAATTAATAACTCGTGAATGAAAATATCTTTTTTTTTCTTCACCCAATTAATGAGGCTCTATAAACAATAAGTCCTCATTATTATTCTTGCCTGGGAGTTTCTATTCTCTAGCTACGCTTTTGCAAATATCACCTATTTTCCATTTCAGGTGACAACTTCCTGGTTGCTGGCAGAACAAAAGGGATCACCATGCTACTGGAAAGAGTCGTCTATGAGAAGTCATAGTAGAGATCGGAATTTGAGTCATAGTGGAATGTCTTATTGTGTGGGCTTGTGCTCCTAGATGCAGTATTTCTTTCTCACATAACTGTTTGAGGAGGCACCACCTACTCAACTTTATAACTAAACTCACTGTTTCTTGACAAATGTGTATTATGGAAACTTTTTTTCAATGCATACCCATAGCTCCTAATTCATATGTCAAATGTGGTAATGGAATTAGGAATTGCATTATAACTGAAATGATATGAAAATATTTTGTGTCCTCGTTTTAAGTATTTTATGCATATCTACCTTTGCAGAGCATTCATTAAGGAAGGAACTGGTATTGAGTGAGACAAGCATTAAAAGAAGATTAGTTCATAACCAGTTAATTGCCACGTGTCCAAAACAGAAACCTTCCCTACACACCACAACATTTTAAATTTAATTTTAAAAATCAATTTGCAATGAGTATTATAAAAATAAATGTATTACTCACAAGTTGGGAGTTCTTGAATACTTTTGGCTGAAAATTCTCACACACAAAAAAATGATTTTAAAATCTGTCAGGGCTGCCACTTAGGAAAAACATTTTTTTTTTTTTAATAGATGCATGTGGTGTGTGGAGAAGGTCCACCTTTTGTGTCTACAGATGCTTATGGTGAACAATGGGTTAATATACAGTGTGCTGGCTTAAACTTCTAATTTTACATCTCAATTAAAATGACTGATTAAAATACGAATTTGCTTTTGATTCCTACTGTTTCCACCTAGTCCTGTGGCTCCGATTGTGAACACCGTAACGCAGTTGCATCAACATCGTTTAGCACACAATTTCTGCTCTTTCCCTGAAAGGTTGGCGAGGCCCTAAGTTTCCCGGCAAAGTTTTCCCATAGTCACAAACTCCCTGTGAGTATGTGCATATCCGTATGTAGGTTACTGTGAGTCTGTCTGATTTAGGGCAGTTCTCCTGGTAGTCACAGCTAACTCAGGAGACTACTTTAAATAGATAAGTTCTAGGACAGCTGTGTGACTTAATTAGCAACAAAATGGCTTAAAACTATAATTTCACTAGCTGTTAAAGTAAAAGACTTGTAACAGTGCTTTGCTGTGATGTATTTCTTACAAATTCTTCAAAATGTTAAGTCCTCTCATTATAATAATTGTATGGTTGATTAGTCTTCCATCTGGCGGCTATATGAGTCTGGGAGATACATAAACTGTTCCTAAAGACAAGTCCTTAAAAATATATTTGGTATCTAAATTTCCTTCAAGGACTTTACTTGTTCCTAGTTAAGAAACAAAGCTTACTATTCTCTATCCTATACAAATAAAAGCACCAATTAAAGGCGAGTGATAGAAGAGAGAAAACAGGTCACTTATTGTCAGTCACCAGGTCTTTCTGTCAGCAATCACAGGAACCAAATGACACAGGGTGGGTGAGTCTATGGAGTAACACACCCTTCAGAAGATTATCATTTTCACATTCCCGGCAGCACAGGCAGGGCTGTTTAATTTCTTTAATAGAAGACAATCATTTGCACAGTATCGTAATAAGTAAACATTTCTGTTCAAAGACATGAAGAGAGAGGCAATTCTAAAAACAGTGTCTGAAAACTAATCTAATCAGCTGGGAAATATTTTCCTAGCTGAGTTACTCTTTCTAAGGGGAAAAAAAAAATCACTGAAAACTCAGTTCAAAAGTTAATGTCATTTGAAATCAGAAAAAAAGAATGCAGAAGAGAGTATTTTTATTTTCCAATTTTATTCTAAAATACAAACAAGACTCTTTAGGATTAAGTCAACATAATTCGTTGATGTATTTTTGCCTCCCAATTTCTAACATGAAAGTCATAAATATTAGGCTAGAAACTGCTGACATTTGATCAAAACTAACAGCACACAAGGAAAACTTTTTAAATTATCAGTTACATGAAACAAGCAATTACCAAGTTCAAGGACTTTTGAATTACAAAGCTTATAAAACAGCTCTACAATTAACCAAAATCTCAACGGCCAAAGACACTACGAACTTTTTTAAAACAAGGATGTTTTGAAGCAGAACACTAGCCTAAATCATATGAAACAACTTGGACAAGATTTTGATATAAAAGTCACAATTGAGATGAAGTTGGAGGAATATTTGAATTCAGTAGAGTTAAGCCACAATGCCACCTAAACCTATTTCCTTTTCTAAATGAAACAAAAGTTATCCAAAAACTTTTAAGCACTTACATGATCTGAATTTCCTTTGTTTGCCCATGGAATATAAGAAAAATATTCTTATAGCAACACAATGTAATAGAAAAGAAAAATTGGTGCAGAATACTATGAGTACCTTCTTTATCACCAAGTACATCAATCACATAAGGCTCATTCTAGAATGCTAGAACTTCAGGCGAATGGCTTTACTCAAACTAAGACACTCTGCAAAAGGGGAGGGAGGGGATAAAAATGTCCACCTTTGATAGACATTGCCATGAATTTCTGCAAAAGCAAGTAAAGAAAGTAGAGAGCTTTTCCAATCAAAATATTAAATGCCTTAATCTTTGTAAGAAAACTTAAGTGTTTCATTATTCCAGCTTTATTGTACTGTGCCGTCCTTAGAAATCGAGTCTATTGAATTATTTTTCAAATTTCTTTTCCTAGAGAACAATTTTGATGGACTTAAGGCATTCTGCAGAGAATGAGACATATCAGAATCTGTCCAAGTGTACAAGTATGAGAATGACAAGAGGTTTATAGGAAAATAATTTTTAGGTCCCAAAATCACTACCATAATTAACCTTAAATTAACAAAAAGCCATGATTAATAAAATCTGTTCACTTTGTGGAAGTAATTCTAACATGATCATGGAATGGTTAAATCTCTGGGCACACACCCTACCTAGTACCACGGCAGGGACTCCCTGCTGCCAGCTCAGCGTGTAACAGCTACTTTAACAGATTCTGCAGCATGGCCGTGGCATACGTGGGCCTCGCCTGTCTGCTCTCAATTGCGTTCTGAAGGTACTGGATGCCTCCACAGCGCTCCCAGATCTCTTCAAACTGTCTTGGCAAAATCTCAGCACCACGCTTTCGAGTCAGGCCTGTCTCTTCAAGGTTCAGCTCACACATCTCCATGTCATCCTTACCTGCACAAATGAGACAGCAGACAATCACCATGTCTCTTTCAGAACTACTGTTACAAACCTTATTCCTGACGCATCTACCAATTCTCCTAGACTTGAGAACTTTCAAAACTTTATTTTCTTCCAAGATTGAAATCTGCTTAATAAACGCACCAGGAAAAAAAGTTTGTCCTCCACCGAAGACCCTTTCAAAATGTACCATCACTACAACTGATCAAATGATGAGGGCTAATAAAAATGCTACATTTCCTTAAACTGTTACAGATCAACTGATATAGTTAAATACCCAATGAAAGGTTCTTAGGACATAGACAAGTTTCCATGTGCTCTACAAGGACATCCTCCAAGCAAGTTCACATTATAAATAAATTAAGCCTCAGATAAACTGAAAACGTGATTTAACTGCAAAACTCCATCCCCCAATCCTGAACTTCTAGTGAATTATTACATTATATCTTAGGTTGTTTCATTCAGAGCTTATAACCCTTCCCTCCTTTATAAATGTTTTCCCTGTGAGTAGTCATACACACCAGCCACAAGAAGGATGGGTGGCTTGTCAGGATGGAGTTCCATTTGCCGGGCAATCCAAGGTCCGTCGAAATGGGCGTACCACCAGCCTTTCTTCTTGTTCTGCGGGTCTTTGTACTGGTCCGCAGGGCGGATGAATGGGATGCGGAAGAAGCGCTGCTGTCTGTTCATTTCCATCTCCTGCTGCCTGGCAGGGAGCTGAGCAGCCGGGTTCTGCTGAGCTATTGCACACAACAAGGAAAGTTACACCGGCAGCCGCAGGGATAACAAAACAGCCTTGAATCCTAAAATGTACTGCACATTTTTTTTTTTAAAGAAGAGGGGTTCCTATTAGTAAATTTAAAACAAAATGTAAATAATAATTGCCTATAATTGAATACAATTCACAGTGTGATTTCTTCAGAATTTTCTTTCCCTAAAGAACTTCCTTTACATTGCAAATACACACACACACACACACACACACACACACACACCCCTACACACCCCTGCATACACCCCAAAAGCAGCAGCCATAATACCCTAAAATAATCAGTAACCTAAAATAAAGTCACATGGCAGGAAAGCAAAATAGTATTGTTTATTAGATTTATATTTTTCCTCCAAAGAGTTCAAATGAAGGCAGAAAAGTAACTTTTACAGGACTATTTATGATAAAACAAACAGTGATTATACTAATCTGAAGGATTATAAATGATATTTGTCAATTAATCACAAGTTCCTCAAAAAGATAGAAGACAAAAGTTTCCTCTTTGGCCAATCTTGGGATTTAAAATGGCCAAGATAATACATATCTTTCACTAAAGCTATTTAAATGACTTTACAACAGCAGCAAAGACCAAAAAACTGAACATGAACTTTCCCTCAGATATTTACTTACTCTGAAAACAGATTTCTCTTGGAGTAAGATTCACTGAAATAAGTGAAAAGTGTATAATATTTGGTCCTCTTTGCCAATAGGAAAAAACTCTTTACTTTTCTGATAGTACTGGGTATTACCCTCCTGTTAATAAACTTTTTTCCCCTTGCTCAATTTCCATTACTAAACAATTGGGTTTTTATTTTATCTACAAATATAAACATTTCTCTGGGGCAATAACTTGACATTTTCAGCAACATAATTTGGGTATAAAGTCTGTTTAATACGCTTTATACTCACAACTTTCAAAGTGGACCCACCATTTACTGCAGCTCAGTTAAGAGTCTCACTGAAAAACTAAGTACGTCAGTGAGAAATTATATAATATGTGTAAGTCAAGAACAGCCATATGGCTTTTGTGAGAATCTCCAAATACCGAAAGGATGAAAATACTCTTATTCTACTCTTGACACCAACAGCCAAAGCTTTCTAGCGACTGGATTTATTTCTGAGCAAACCAGAGAAAGCAAGAGGCCCTTAGCAAAGCTCTCTATGCCTAGGAAAGAGGGAAACCGACGCCAGTTTCGTTAGTGGCTTTAAAAAGCCGCATCACCTTTAGTAGTTAGCAGAGAGGAGCTTATTTATTCTTTTGTTCCTGTTCCACCCAAACTACTTACAGTTCAGTGCTTCCATTTTACGTTTTAAAAACTACCTACTTTGAAGAAAATACATTAACTCAAAAGTAAGATATTGTAAAAGGGTTTTAAAGATCCTTCATCTTAAGCAGTGAATTAGAATTCAATGTCTAGTTAACAGAATACTTAATAGGATACTGATCACCATCCATTAAATTAACCTGCTTTTTTCTTTAAAATAAGTCTCTTATAACTTAATATTGTGGGTAAAATTAAGAAACCCAACATAAATTCTTTGATGGCTTTTTTTTCTACTGATGTGAGAACTGAAATTGTATTGGGGAGACAATATCCATCTGGGAAAGTACAAAGATACAGACATTAAAAGATGGAAATTTCATCTTCTAAACAACTATTTCTTTCACACCCAATAATGTTATCTTCAAAAGCGTGAAATAGGTTTCAAATATAGCCCCAGAAATTACTAAAAAGCACTTTCAAAAATCAAGTCTCACCAGCTGGCAAATAAATATGGTATTACAGTAAGTCCTCATTTAATATCTTCAATAGGTTCAGTGACTTTAAGTGAAATAACATATAATGTAACCAACTTTACCATAGGCTTATTGATATCAACAAGAGTTAAGTTCCTATGGCGGTTCTTCAATGTAATAACAGAAGGACAGTAAGTAAAACAAAGTTATTTGAGAACCTACTGTATGTCCAAGTGATTGTTGAAACTGATTCTAGAAGAAATTTACTGCACATTAAGATGACTCAAATCTTTTAAATTATATTTTAAAAAGTGCATCATAGGAAGCAACAAACGTAGCAGAATAACCTCTTCTTCCTAGGAAGGGGTGTCCTTTTAAATCTGCATCTGTATTATCAAACAGAACTCAATCCCTTTGAACAAACATGCTTATCCCACCAGTGTTTGAAACCAGCACCTAAAGTTAGTCTTTATTCTAAAAGATCAGCTGCTTATTAAGATAGAGTTTTGCTACAATAATAATTGTACATATTCACAGTTTAAAATGCTAGTTATTTCTTAAAATGAAGTAATTTTATAAAACAACAGTTTAAATTTTGTTATTTTTTTGGAGTGACCCAAATATAATAAGAAGAGTATCATCTCAAATTAAATATCTAGTACAGATAAACCAAGATTAATGTACTATAGTTCCACTTAAAAATTGTAGCAAAACAATGTTTAATAGAAGTTAGTGCTTTATAAAGTATTTTTAACCCATCTTCCAGTTAGCTTCCATGAGTTACCACCCATTGACTTACGTGAATTGTTCAAAAATGTTGCAAAATCTGTGAACAAATATTTTATGTTGAAGAAAAGATAAAAGTGCCAAAACTGTTAAGTGAGCATTCTTCTAATTTATAAAGCCTTTTCATCAATTGAGGTGGTGACTAACAAGTAAATATCCTTTCCATAGACAAAGACCCACAAGTAGATGCTGCTTTCTTTCTTTCTTTCCTTCTTTTTTTTAAACTATTTTGATTATGTTTTAGAAAATTCTGCCTGATGGACCTATAAAGAGGATCAAAATTTAAAAATTGCATTTCATTTGTGATTTTGGGACACAGTAATATCCAAACAAAAACCCAACACAATCAGTTAATAATGGACATTATAGTAACTTTAAGGAATTCCAAGTATTTTTGTAGAAAAAAAAGGGGGTAAATTCTAAATTCATCTGAAATTATATGCAGTAGAGAAAACGCCCTGCCATGTTCACATGTACCCAGGATATTTTAACTTCTTCGAAGTGTTTAAATCTTAAACATATGCCATTTTTATTTTAGGAACTATGAAATAAAACTACTCTCCAAAGTCTTTGTTTTAAGCAACTAAATATTATAATTTTTTACTGGGTGATTTTCCACTGCATCAAAGTTATTCCTGAAAATCTCTGTCTGTAGTAAACGTGATGAGAGCATGCTCACCCTGAGGACAGAATGAGGATCCAAACTCCTAACTCCAGAAATTACCATCATTTGTGCATGCATTACTCTTACAGGCAATGACCTCGTTATATTTTTGTTTATCACAGCTGTTATAATTTTATTTTCTCACACTGATGAATTCAAATCCTTCCACGTATTGAGTTACAGAGCAGTTCTTTTTAAAGGCCAATCAGTGGCCCTGTTAGTACACCCCCTAAGTATAGAATTTTCTCAACTGATCTTGTTATGTATCTTGGTGTCCTTCACCTTTCCTTTTACCTGTAGCTCCTGTGTGAGTTTTACGTGAGAGAACAAAAGAGAAAAATAAAGTAATTTTCAGAGCAGAAGTTACATTTTATCCTGAAAGTAGCCCATAATCAAATTCTTTGAAAGCTACATATAAAATGTGTTCACATAAAATTCCTAAATTTATTCGTGGATGGCACTTTAAATCTACTCTTTTGTTCTTCCAAAATGTTATATATATTACGAATGAAAATAGTATAAGCACCAGCAAGGTGAGCCATGGATTATTTGCTCTTTTTTGGGGCAAATTTGGATGAAGAAACTATCAAAATTTGGTTTGAAAATACAAGGAATATTTGTATATTTATTCAAAATGTGAATGCAACATTAATTCCTTTTTTAAAAGAAGTATAATCATTTAAATGAATAAATTTCCAAATAAAACATAATCAAAGACTATCAGCCAACTTAGAAAATTAGAGCTAAAGAGAATAGCCCATTGAGATTTTTACAAAACAAAGGTAACTGGTTGGAAACCTGGTGCAGTGAACAGGCAATGGACGCACCCTCTCCTCATTTCCCAGAGAGAGTTTTAACCTGGAGAACGCAGTGGTGGTCACGAGAAGGTCAATGTTGAGAGGGTGTGCCACTTGCTGTTTCCTAGTTCTGGGTGACTTCTCAGTGCCCGTCCAGAGCGTCATGTTCTGACTGATGGCACCCCTAGAGCAATGACCAGCACTAACAGCTCTCTTAATAGTACATTTCCCTCTATTTTTGCAACAACCTGGAAACATTAAAAGTCCTTCCCTTAAGTGACTTTAATCAAAAACTGCTTTTATTTGCTAGGAAGGTGAAGGAGGCAAAATATAATTGAGAGTTCATCCCCTAAATTGGGTCATGCATTACCAAACTATACTATTAAGTGGAATGGACCCCTTTACAAATAAAAAGACATTACATATGCTGTTGATGTCTCTTTAACCAAAAATGGGCTAATAAATTGTGACCATTTAAAGGTAGCAAGTTGAACTAACCAAATTCCAATTATTGCTTTTATGAAATTAAATATATGAAATTACTATTCATATATTAAAGGTATTCTCAATTTAATGTTAAAGCTAATGCATACTTTCACTAGGTTATGTCTACCCTGCTCTATTTTCCAATTTCAAGAATAGAACTTTCCTTTTGCATAACAAAGTAACAAAATTCATTTTTTGGAAATCAGTCAAAATATCAAATCCTGATCTTGGCAAAACTTTAGAACAAACCAAGGTACTATTTCTCTTATATGGGGAAAATACTTATTTACAACATTATTGTACAACCTGTTCACTATAGACAGGATTATTCTTACCTCTAGAATGTATCTTAAGAAGTAAATTCCATACTTCTTAACAAATAAGACTTTACATTTTTTTAATAAAAATAATGCTTATGAGCGAAAGCCATTGTGGTTGTGCTAAGTTCAGTGGATCACAGTTCTACAGTAAGAAAACATTTATATTGGACACGTCACCCAAATGTCTCATGTATAGTACATTCCGAAGTACAGATTTGTTTTTACCATAATCAGTAACAGACTTTGGAGCACGTTGCTCTGTCTCAGTATTTCTCTTCTTGTTCTTGGACTTCCAAGCATGATACACTTTTAGTCTCCTATGAAATTCTTCTCTACAAGCTGCCAGAAGCTCAATATCTACCAATTACATAGAAAGAGAGAGAGAGAAAAAGAACATCCTAATTTAGTTGTCTAGCATAATTATTCTGTGGCATAAACATATATAGATAGTTTTTATAGACAGTATTTATATAATATAAAGTTTTCATTTTAAAGTAATAGTATAAATTAAAAGCTAATTATTGATAAAGATGAATATTTTACGGTAATATTATCTTTTATATTTACAGAATTTTATTATACATTATTACTATTTTATTTCATTTTTTAAAAATATATTTTATTGATTTTTTACAGATAGGAAAGGAAGAGGGATAAAGAATTAGAAACATTGATGAGAGAGAAACATTGATCAGCTGCCTCCTGCACAGCTCCTACTGGGGATGTGCCTAAAACCAAGGTTCATGCCCTTGACCGGAATCAAACCTGGGACCTTTCAGTCCACAGGCTGGCGCTCTATCCACTGAGCCAAACCGGATAGAGCCATTATTACTATTTTATATAATTGGTTCAACAAAAGAATCTTGAACAAAAAAACAAACAAACAAACAAAAAACCACCTTGGACTAAATAGGTCTTTTATAGATGAAGAACTTAAATTACAGAGGTTAAGTCACTTGTCCAAGGTCACAGACTACTACAACAGAATAAAAAGGAAGTTACTATATTCAAATGCAAGCTAGATTTATATGCAACACATTTTTTGTTTGTAATTATGCAGATAAAATCAGTGAGGTGAGAAAGAACATTGTGAGAAGTCTGTACAATTATGACACTTTAGTTCCTATTTATAGTATTATGAATTCAACACTATGATTTAACCAAGAACTCAACTATGTGGGAACCTCCGGATATAGTATTTTACTCTATCTTGTTGGAAGAAAAAGGAAAGACTGGCCTCGCCAGTGTGGTTTAGTGGCTGAACATCAACCTATGAACCAGGGAGCCATGGTTTGATTCCCAGTCAGGGCACACTGCCCGGGCTGCTGACTTGATCCCCAATGGGCTCACACAGGAGGCAGCCGATCGATGACTCATTCTCATCACTGATATTTTTCTCTTGCTCCCTTTCCCTTCCTCTCTCTAAAATCAATAAAAACGTATTTTTAAAAAATAAAGGAAGGACTGCATTGCCATCTTTTACTTTGCATCATGGATCAAAAGATTCTGGTTTTAATTATGTAAGTTATATGAGATGGACAGTCATTAATATAGCCCAGACCATAATTTCTCTCTGTTTTCCTTCAGTGACCTAGGCAAGAGATAAGCAAAATGAATTTAACTTATTTAAGTATGTCTTCCTTTTAGCTTTGTGGATAAATTAGGTCTTCATTTCAAGGTAATAGGAACAAAGAGGATGGCTTATACTAATTCATATGCAAATTTAAAAATAGCACCCCCAGCTGGGTATTTATTACTTGTTCATAAATACAGGAAGCCTTCCCATTTTTCATCCTTTCCATACACTTACCACAAGAAGTATTGATGGTATCACGTAGTTCTGCATATTTCCATTTACTGAGATCATGTTTCTTGGTTCCAGCAGCTGCCTTGGTGGCTTGTACAGCAGGACCTCTGCAATTATTACATAGTTTTACATATTTAAACTCGAAACATGAATGAAATGTTAACTAAAGAAGCAAGAAAGTGAGTGTAAGTTTAGGAACTGGAAGAAAGACATAAGTTTTGTATCTCTGATGGATGAAATGAAGAATGGTGTACTATAGAATGCCCAGGCAAATTAAAATTTTCCAGCATACCATTTAATAGCTATTTTAGGAGGACTTCTGATTCCAAATTCTAGTACCAGAGGTTTATCTAAAGTTAAAAAGTGCATTTATATGTATTCTTCAAAATCAGAAAATAAATCAACATACATGAACAACATCATTAGAAGCAAGCACATTAAGGGTTTGTTTGTGAGCCACTGGGCCACACAGTACCATCACCTATAGACTACTGGAACCTACAGATGGCCAAGCCCCAGTCACACCTCCTGGCTCAGGATCTCCCTAGGCATCTGGGTGTTTACAGGGTTCACAGGTAAATGTCTAAAATGCAACCCGCGACATGAGTCATAAAGAAAGGCTCAAAAAGCTGCTGGCACCTGGAAACTCCTGTGACCTTTTAACTTCACTGTTAAAGAACTCTTAGAAAAAAGTTCTATGACAGGAGTGGGGAACCTTTTCCTGCCAAGGGCCATCTGGATATTTATAACATCATTCGCTTAATATCAATTTTTGTTGCTATGAAATAAGCTCCTTGATTTATTGAATTTTGAGTCCCTCCTGTGATTGCTCTGGCAGGACCAGACCAAATGTTATCTCGGGCCTTAAACTGGCCAGATGTTCCCCACCCCTGTTCTATAACCTGGTAAAACCACACCCAAATATTTAGTGAGGGACAAATATGTAAATTAAAGGAAGGGGTTTTAGGTCATGAAGTTGATAACGGAGATTAAAAAGGGCACAAGTGTTATAATTCGCCCAGTGTAACAGGAATATTTGAGTAGAAAGAGAGGAAGCACATTTTAAAAATTGAAAATATGTATAAAGTAATAAATTTAGAGTAAAATGGGATAAAGGCAACTTTTTCCTCGTAGTGCTACTTGGGGCTTAAGGTGTGTACATAACTTAAAATAATTATTCAGAAAGTATGGGAACAACTTGTTTTCTGTAATAATGAACATTACTTTCCAGCAGCTTACACTAGCCACAGAGGAGACACTCAGAATAAGCTGCAAATGGACTTTTAAGCACAAAGTAACGAAGGAAGGATTTAAACACATCCTATTTCAAGACGTGAAAAGATGACACAAATAACTAAATATTAAAGAACTAAAATATTACTTCTCAGGTATCAAACAAGGAATTTCACCTTTATCATACACTTCTCCAAAAAATGTCCTCTCAAAGAGCAACAATCAAGATACAACACTAAAGTGGGCTACTTTCTCATCATTTTATGTTTTGAAAGATAACAATAATCCTGACAGTCAAGACACAGATAATGAGACTGACTGAAAAATGATGTGGACGCCGAGACCGGTTTGGCTCAATGGATAGAGCGTCAGCTTGGGGACTGAAGGGTCCCGGGTTCGATTCTGGTCAAGGGCATGTACCTTGGTTGCAGGCATATCCCCAGTAGGTGGTGTGCAAGAGGCAGCTGATGGATGACTCTCATTGATGTTTCTAATTCTCTATCTCTCTCCCTTCCTCTCTGTACAAAAATCAATAAAAATATATTTTAAAAAAATGATGTGGGAGAATATGTATCCTTCTTCCTGAAATAAAGGAAATTATTTCTTTAATAGTAAACTTACCAATGAAATAAGCTGCTTGTGCCTCCTCACAAGGCCTATTTATGCTTTCATTTCAGAGAATAAAACACAAAGTACTTCAGCCTACATACTTAAAAACTGTTCGACATACATAAACCTGAATAAAAACGAATGTGTGGCCATTTAGTCCTTCCTGCTTTCTGTGGCTAAAATCTGCTTTGGGTTTATTGAGGATCCATAGTTTTCATGGCTGTGTGACTGGCAATTTGCCATGTAGCTCTTTCTTCTAAACTGCTTTGCTCAGAACAAGCCGGCTGTGTGTCAGCAAGGTCTATTACCCTCAACAATAAATTATGCTTTAACATTTATTCAAATTATGTATTCTTTTTTCCTTTTCTATAGCATTAAAATACCATTCAATAAACCAACAAAAAATTCTCTTTTCTTCTTAGCTCTTCTAAGAATCTTTTCTAGGATAGCAGCTGAAAATTGTTATGGGTTTTCTATTGTTACTTTATTTTCTTTTGAAAGAAAAACTGAATTTACATAATATACCATTTATAGATTGTCAGAAAATACATGGGGTGTCAATATACATAGGGTGTGTTTTAATACTTTTTAAAATAATAACACTGAATTCAAATTATTATTGCTTAAGATATGATTTTGGTATTACTAACTTTTAATTCATATTACCTCAAACAAAAATATACCTAAAATCATACTCAGCATCCTAAGAAATACATGACTAAAATGCACCTTTGGAAATATTAAAACAGTAAAATAAAGCTGTAGTTTATTGTTTAGACTCGATTAACAGATATCCATGTAAACAATAAAGTAGTAGGAAAATTGACTTGATTTTTAAAAATATATTAGGCACCTTCAATTAATTTTGTAAGTTCAAAATTAACAGTTAAAATTTTATTGATTCATATCCACTTAATAAAGGTAATGGACTAGATCCTGCTGGGAAGTTATAGCCTTTGGAGGCTCAGTTTTTACATCAGGATATTTTTCCCATTGATTTTTAGAGAGAGTGAAAGGGAGGAGGAGAGACACAGAGAAAGAAACATCAATGTAAGAGACACATCTATTGGTTGCCTTGTGCCTGCAACCTTATGGGACTCTTCAGTCCGAGGGACCCTTCAATCCACAGGCTGATGCTCTATCCACTGAGCCAAACTGGCTAGGGTGTAGCAGTGGCTTTTAAACTGTGTACTGTGGTGTACAAATCCTTGAAGTAGGATTTCCCCCTTCAACGAGGCACAGTGGTTCCTGGCCAGGGGGCAGCAGCACCCCTAGAGGGAGTTGCATGTCATCAGGAAGACAGAAAGGGTTCCCCTAAGAGACTGGGGGCCAGTGTTAAGCACAGCAGTACTACCAGCAAGGAAGAGTCTAATCCAAAAAGCCAGTGGTTTCACCAGAGAAATGCCGACGGACAGGAACACTGGTTGTTATCTTTTTCTATGTGAGAGTGAAGTGACACTTCTCGTACAGAAAACATACATGGAAAGAGTATGTTATTCATACAACAGGTTCTGGTCCAAATATTGACAAGTAATTTAAAAATATGACTTTGAGATGACACGTATTTCCCCAGATTGTACTGCACTAACCTACTCAAGATTTCTGACATTTCTTTCGCCATTTGTTCCCTATAAAAGAATGATAATACAACAGAGTTATATAAAAGACAATTACCATATAAAGTACTTAAATATCTAAAAGCACAATTAAAATTCTACATTTTAAAAATATTTACATTTTCAATAGGATTATTGAGTTAATAACCATTCTCTATTATTTTACTTTGTAAAAGTCTGCAATATACTTTTTTACATACATAACCATAAAAAACAGCAAATTTTTTGTGTAGATCCAGTTATTGTTATTTGAACTTTCCTATTTTTGCAGTAAGAACTTTTAAATAAAATCTCATGAGAGCCATGCTTCTGTGGTATTATTTTTTATGTACAGAATAAAATGTTCTAAATGCAGACAGGAGACTTGGCAGGATATAGATTCTATATAAAAATGTTGCACTGGATTGCTTAGAAAATATTAATTAGCAAGGTATAATGGTGGTAAAAACAAGTTGATCTATATTACGTTGCCAGAGTTTAAATAACTCTGGTGTATTCAAAGTTTTAGAATTCTAGATCAAAGCGTATTTTCAATTTTTTTAAAAATCAAATGCATCAAGTACTTGTTAAATATTAAGATGAGAAGTGTTCGGACTTTTCAAGGACAAAAATTTCCCAACGGACAAAACTTACTTATCTCTTATTACCCCAAAGAGTGTAACTTTCTCAGTATTTGTTTAAATCTGTGAGATGGAATGGATGTTTCCTGTTCCTGAATATTTTAACCTTATTATTTTCCTGTCCTGTCCTTCGCTGTCTTCCTTCATAATTAATAAGTTTCTCACTCATTCTATTCACCAGACTCTGGTAAACCCCCAAGTCCTATAAACCAGTAAAAATCAAAAGAAGATGGTAGCTGGGCCTCAGGGCAGTTTCCTGGACACCCGCCCAGACTCCGGACTGCTGCATCTCTTTCCTTCACTGGACACTGGCTAAGCCCAGGTACCGATGGAGATCTGGCTGAGCAAGCAGTCAGAGAAAAAGCAATCCTTCAAAACTGATGATCAAGGACAAGAAACACAAAGTAAAAAACACAAATGTAATCTAAAGAAACTGCCTATTGAGCAAATGTATCAACCTCTCTTCAGGCTGGTCAGAATTTCCTAACGTTCAAACTCAGCATGATTTTGGTAATTATTTTTAATTCTATTATCACCTACCCCAAGGCTTCTATCAATATCCAAGAGCACCTCTGATTTTACCACCGCTTTCTCCTGAAGCTCCCCCGATTCCCGCCCCACAGCGGGCTTCAAGGGAATCGGAGCTCTCTCACTACGTGGACTGTCAATCGTATAACAGTTTTTCTATATACCCCCAACTTCACTGGATGACAATTTCTATTGATTTAATATCTCACCTGCCCTATGTTATAGCAAATATACTGAATAGAAATGGTTCCTGCATCCAAGAGCTTTTCCCCTTCTGATTTTCCCAGACTATATGCAGATGCTCACAATTCCACCTTTGACCATCAATTACAGGGCTGAATTCAAGCTCAACTGATAACTATAAAGAAGTTTTTTGTTTTTTTTATTGGAGGGTGAGAGCATCCATTTGGTAACATTTTCAAAAAACCTGGTGCGTTGTGGTGAACAATGGTGTTGGCATTTGATGGGGGGAGGGGTCAGAGATGCCAAATGTTCTGCACAAGGAAGAGCTGTCCTATGCCTCATGGGACTTTACCATGCTCACACACTGAGGTGAAGTGTACACACACACAAATAGTTTTACGTGGAAACAAAGTTTTACATGTGTTAAAACTTTTTTGCCTGGTTTTATCATTCAGATAATTTCTGTTAGAATGCACCTATTGCAAAAAGGAGAGGAGAGAGTACTTAACTCTGTCCAGAACTTTACAAAGGACTGTTCACAGCTGCATGACATTTACTGACTGATGTAACATTCTTATATGATATAAATTTGAGTTTGAAGTGGTTGCATTCATGGTGATCCTATGTATACATGCAAACATTGGAGTATTTAATTATATTTTTCTGTAGTTGTAACCAAGCACTTTTCATATTAAAATAACCACTGCTTCATTATAAATTATTGTGTTTTTACTTCTCTTTAACATGCACTGTTTGGAGAACTATATATATGCATGCATCATTTTTACATTTGTTATTGGTATCTGTGTCTGAGGAGTTGAGGACTGTTACTATAATAGTTGGGCCTAAAAGCTATTAATATTCATATTTTATGCATATTCCAAAATGTTATATGTATAGTATGTATAAAATATAAGCAAAAAATGTATTTTATACATATATCCCAAAGGTTACTTAGATTCTCTTTCTATGGAGAGATTTTCATAACAAAAAGATACATCAGCATCAAAATCAGCATTATATATATAACTTCAGATTATAAACTATTTTAGATATCAGTAGAATAAACTATCATACCTGCTGGAAACTAAGCTATCTATTACAACTCAAATACTTTAAATATGTTATTTATTCTTACTTATATCTGCATATCTGTTTCTATAGACAGTAAGTAATAAATAATTAAAAACACATAAAACAAAATGAGTGTTTAAGCAATGTTAGAAAACTCAAAGAAGGAAACCAAGTCATAAACTACTGTGACTGAACACCATACAAGAGCACTGAACATCTTTCCTGGGGAAAGAAAAAATGAGTTATCTTATTCTTTTAAATAAAAGGAAATAATTTAAATTCACTTCAACAAGGAAACGATTTCTCCTAAAAAAGTATCCATAACCTGTAAAAAAGAAGGTTATACAACTAAGTCAAATTGTAAAAAGCGAAACCACATACGGTGTCATTTTGGGTCTTGCTCCATTAATTCTGTGAAAAGAATACATTTTAGTTAATATCATAACCAATTCTGAATTGTGAAAATCTAGATTGTGCCCAACTTACGTGATAGTGACTTTACTGATTTTAAAAAGTGCATAATCTTTATTTAATCTACGTGTGAGATTACTCATAATTTCAGATACAGGCATACCTTGTTTTATTGTGATTTGCTTCATTGAGCTTCACAAAATGTGTTTTTTTACAAATTGAAGACAAGACCCTCCACCAGCACAAAGTTTATGACTCCCTTTATTGCAGTTATTTGGAAGTGACCCCACAATATCTTCAAGATATGCCTGTTACGTGAAATCATAACTTTGCATCCAGGATCATGTGTGTAATTGATTGAGGTCATATTTTAAAACATATTACACGTGTGAAAAATAATTCTTACTTAGAAGTTACTGGATGGGTACCCGAGCTGGAAAAGTAACTTGAAATTGTTTATTGCAGCAGAATCCATCAACATACAGAACCCAAGAACATATTAAGAACAGGGTTATGAGTTCTTACTCATAAATTGTTAGAAAGAATTCAGTACTAACAAAGGCAAAATAAACATTCAAAAACATTAAGTTAGGCCCTGGAGTAAGATAAAATTATCAAACATGGGGCATCGGTATGGAACATCATCCGTAAGACAGCGCTAATGCTTCTAGTGCAGAGTTCACACTAGCCAGGCGATCTGGAGGAGAAGGCACTCACAGGACCGAGGTCAGAGAAAGCTTCCTGGGAGAGAGGCTCCCAGGCAGCTCTTCAATGGGCATTCGAGAGGAGGGACAGCATCTCCAGGCCTGTCCCACGGGGGAACTAAGATGCACTCTTCCTCCCTTCAAGTTACAACTGCTTGAATAGCCCCTAATCACTTAGTTGTGGTTCCCTAGTTAATTCTGCTTCACCTAAATCACAGGTGGCTTGTCACTTCTGTCCACTCTCTCCCTGAGACCACCTGCTTTGGAAGAGGAGCATCTTTCTGAAGATGGGAAGCGGTGCACAGATGAGCCAGTATCTTACACACAGTACAGGAATGGTACTGGAGGTAGCTGAATATTGCAAAGGCTCACACCTAAAGCTTGGCCACGAATACCAATAGTGACTACATGAATGAGCCCTTTAGAAATGACTTTCAGCCCTACTACAGCCAGCTCTGCCCATTTCAGTCTGTCCTCACACGTGAGGAATGGCAGCTGTAAGAGCCTGGCCAGCCCACTGGTCAGTTATACACAAAGACGCCCGGTCACTGTGACGTAACACAGGTGGGAGGAATGGAACAGCAGCTGAGCTAAGTCTGCACATACAAAAGCCAAAGATGGATGGAAATGACTTAATCATGGCGAAATGTGAACCAAGAGCCCAACTATTGGACTCAAACCCAACAGCTTAAAAAATCATTAAAACACCTGCGCTTGATAGGCCTATTCAGTTTATTTAGATATAATATACCTCCATATACAATTCAGGCCCCAGAACTCCCCAATATAGTCACTTACTAGAAAAAGTGTGAAGGTAAGTTAACATACCCTTTTCCTTCTCGATCCTGTTTTCAGCTAAATAAAATCTAAGCACTGCTTTATAATATATAACAAGTTTTTCCTTTCACAAGGAAACAGCAACATCTACTATTTTTAATTATATTTTGTCATAAACAGTGTTCTCACATTCTGAAAAGCATAGTTACATATATGAATGTGCCTCGCCATATGTATAGATCATATATACCTACATATAAAGGAACTCCACAAACTATTATAGTTTTGCTCTGTTTTTATAATAATCAAAATAACTAATATTTCCATATTCTAAGTTTAAAATGAGCCTTCCTGAAACTTTTAATAAGGACTTCCATACTGCTCCATACTCCAATAACATATAGTATTTAGAAATAATTCAGAAACCTGAGTAGCCAAAATATTTCAACGTACAAACCTTCCTTCTTGGAAAAGGAGATGTATTTATTCTGATACATAGGGTGTGTATGTGTGTGTAAAATTTCCCCTCATTTCAAATGTTAGGATATATATAATTTGCATTAGGAAAATAATAAATACCAACCTCAAATATATTAAACTGGACTATAATAAAGTGACTGATTTCTATTATAGTATTTAATGGCAGGTATTTAGAAATTAGATGTCTACCTTAAACAAGAAGTTTTAAGATACAATATTCTTTAGTAATATCAGAGTAAAAACTGATACGTTTTCTTAAAATACTCACGAACTGAAGTGATCAGTTTTGACCTTCAGTAGTTTAAAAATTTGATAAAATCAGTTTGTTTCATTCCTTTGGGTATAAGAGTGGATACAGATAAGGTTTAAATGATTTTACTTAAAATATACCAGGACCTAAGGAACATGATTTCTCCTGTTCGTTCCCGTCAGGCTGAAGTGAGAGGCACGGAGCGAGATAGCAGAGGGAGCCCACACCCCGCCAGCGGCCCAGCCCGGTACCTGCGGAGCGCCAGGTCCACCTGGGCCTCGTCACTGATGAGCTCGGCTTCGCTCTGGGCGATCCTCAGCGCCAGCTCGCGGTCCCTGCGCTCCTGCTCCAGCACCGCCTGCTGCTGGGACTCCTCCTCCCGCTGTCGGGCCAGCTGCTCCTCCACCTCAGCCTGCCACGGACAGAAAGCGGGTTCACCCCAGGGTCCCCACATGTCTCCTTGGTCATTCCCATTGCGACTTAAGATTGTTCGGACAAGTTCCTTAGTAAGGAATGTATCATCTAACCGGAAAGCTCTTCAGTCTCCATTCTCTTCTACATTATAATTTATACTTGCTCTTCCCAAATCTAAGAGAAGGCAGAGAAACCATACTTCCACCATTCCGAAACGATGAGTGTCCCAAATATCACAGTATCCCAGGTACCACATTAACACTAATACCAGACAAGCAGATGTCAAGAATGTAAGGTGTGCTCAGGATCCTATCTACTAAAGAAGGGATATGCTAATTGACCCTCATGCCATTGCAAAGATGGTGGTGCCCATAGCCAATAAGGAGGGAATTGGCTGCCCCGCCCTCAAAGATGGCAGCGCCCACAGCCACAAGATGGCAGAGCCCAGTCCCCTCAGCCCCACAGCCATCCAGGGCTGGGCCCCAGGCACAGGCAAGCCTCAGATGGCAGCTGCCCAGGGCTGCCATGGCTCAGGTAACCAGGGCTGGCTGAGGCTTGCACTGCCAGCAGTGGCAGCAGCAGAGATGTGATGGGGTATCACCTCGCCCTGATCGCCTGGTCACCTCCCACCCCTGAGTGCTCCCAGACTGTGAGAGGGAACAGGCTGGGCTGAGGGATCCACCATCTAGTATATGAATTTTCATGCACCAGGTCTTTACTAAATTAATAAAGCCAAGAAACTCAAATCATGTATTTGAGTTTACTCAAATACTCTCAGACATGGACTTTTTAAAAAATGGGGTGAGTAAAGAATCTTATCCTAATTTATTACTGTTAGTATCTATTATACAACTCTCAGACATGGACTTTTTAAAAAATGGGGTGAGTAAAGAATCTTATCCTAATTTATTACTGTTAGTATCTATTATACAACATTATAAAATAATATTTTATAATTTGTTTAACTGGAGGAATGTACATTTTAAAATTATATTTTAAATAAATGTCATCTGGCTTTCCCCTAGGCATAATAATAACAACAAACTAATATTTATTAAACTGAACAATGTTTGATGAGGGAATGTGACAAGGAGTCTTTGTAGCCAAAGGAATCGTTGAGCTAAAGCCAGCCCAGAACTGAACACTGTTCGAAATGCTTTAACATGTGTAAACTCATTTGATACAACTATTATTTACCCACATTCCACAGAGAGGAACTGTGGCCCACAGTCACTCATTGTGACTTGTACAATGTCATAATTTCTGTCAGGGACAGAGGCTGGATCTTAACACACGTCCCTGACTCCCAAGTCCCTGCCATAACCATTTCAGATACTGCTTTTCATCTCTGAGATAAACCAATGCTAACTTATCTAGCAAATCAAGATCTTGCTTTCACTTCTTTTAATTTTTTAGATTCTATTTTGATAGAAATTCAGTTCAACTGTCTAATCAGTACATACCTGAATACGTTTTTCATCATCTTCCCTTTTCTTTCTCTCTTCTTCTTCTTGTTTTCTCTTTGCTTCCATCTCAAGTTTCCTTTAAAAAAAGAAAGAAAGAAAGAAAGAAAGAAAGAAAGAAAGAAAGAAAGAAAGAAAGAAAGAAAGAAAGAAAGAAAGAAAGAAAGAAAGGAAGGAAGAAACTCTTCAAAAACTTTATAGAAAAATCAGGAATCCTTCAGAAGGCAATTTAAACTATTAATAAACAAAAGTTACAGAATGGGGGCTCACATTAACCTTCTGACCATATACATTATCATTTTTTAAATCTAGCTCTACTGACAATAAATCTTCTGGAACAAAACAAACACATTATATTGCATAACCTTTAACATCTCTAGAGTAACTTGGTTACAAAGCCTAGTTGCAAGGTTCTGATTACATGTGCTTCCCTTTACTCCTTCTCCAATTAAACAACTCATGTTCCTTCTGTCTACCCAATTATGCAAATCTTTCAAAACATTACCAGTTTTAAAACTGCAGAAAAGTAGAAGAGCCTTTTTTCTAGCTTATTAAATAATGCACAAGTCACTGCTTTAAAGGGAAGTTAAGAGATCCTCAGGTGTAAGAATCTAAGCAAAATTCCTATTATTGTTAAAATCATTTTATGTTAGGATATTATGGCTTTTCCCCCATTTTTCAAACGTATTCTAAAATTACAGTCATGAGCAGCACAACAATATTTTGGTCAACAATGAACTGCATATACAATGGTGTTAAGCCATACATACAGCCTATGTGTGTAGTAGGCTATACAATCTCGGTCTGTGTAAGCTCTCTAGGATGCTCACACAAGGATGAAATCACCTAATGACACATTTCTCAGGACATATGTCCATCATTAAGCAGCATATGACTATAGTATCTATATATATAAAAGGCTAATATGCAAAGTTCCCCCTCAGGAGTTTAACTGAAAGACCAGGAGTTCGATTGCTCGCTATGACATTCTCTGACCACCAGTGGGCAGTGTGGAACATGATGGGAGACCAACAGCAGCGGAGGGGTGCTGAGGGAGAGAGGAAATGAGAAAAGGGGAAAGTGGGGGACCTGATTGGCCCTGATCATAGGCCAGGCCTAAGGACCCTTCCCGTGCATGAATTTTATTCACTGGTCCTCTAGTTTTCAAATAAAAAACTACTCTTAAAAATAAGAAAATATATCAACCAACACCACCAAGAGTTCACTGTTCTGTTAGCTTCTAATTCAAAACGACAATATGAATGCCTTACATCCGCCTTTCCTCCTCTTCCTTTCTTCGACGTTGTTCATCTTCTTCACGTCTTTTTCTTTCTTTTTCCATTTCTTCTTGAATACGTCTCAGCCTTTCCGCTTCCTCTTCCTGCTGTTTCTTTTTCTGTAAAGCACTGAGGAGCTCCTCTGAGCTTTTAACTAGTGCATCGTATTCTTTCTGTATCTGTTCCCTTGTCATCATAGTGGACTTTAAAACAATAATAAACATGTAAAAAGTTATCTCTTCTGCTGCACAACAATGTGAATATACTGGACACTACTGAATCTGTACATTTTAAAGTCGTTAAGATGGTAACTTTAATGTTATGTGCCCTTATAATAAAATAAATATGGACATATACAGCAAAGACTGGAAAAGTTGGTAAGCTATAAGCCCATTATCTTTATTACACTATTTGTACACTTAAAAGTTACCTTTCCACCAAATCTCTACATCTGTTTCCTTTAATCAAGTAATCATATATCTAAAGAGGACAAAATGACATACTGTTGGTAACCATTACTTTTTAAGAAATTATTAATTTTGAGAGAGTTTACTACTCTTTAATAATGTTCAAATATTACTTAATGAATATTTAAGAAATTATTAAATACATCCCAAATTGTTGGATGACTTTCCTAAGTGAGGCTTCAGAAAATATGGCTTGGTTGATTTTAATTAATACCATATAAACATGGATGGCTCTTAACAGATTTATAAAATCGGCTAAGGTTATCCAAAGCATTTTCATTTTTCTTTTGTTCCTCTTTCTCCATTCTGTCTCTAAGACTGACCACTGTCTACATAAAATATCTGCAGGAAATAGAATAAAAGGCTTGCTTTAAGGTATTATACCCACATAACTGCACTGACTCATTTGGCTAGATGAGAAAAACATTAACACCCTAAAAAATAACGGAAAAAGATACGAAGAGACAGATGGAATGTAATTACAAGCATACAGAAAAATTTTCAATCCCACTGATGATCAAATAAATGAAAATCAATACCAAAAAAGGCCCCATTTATTCTGACAAATTTGGATGAAAATTGCTATTTTCATAACAGTTAAGTAATTTATGATACAGCCTATATGAAGATAACATAATTATAGGAACAAGGCATATGGCATGATGATAGGGAAAGAAAACTAAATGTACATTAGGGTAAGAACTATGCAAAAATACATGCATATAGACTAAGACAGGGAGGGAAATTCACAACAGTGAAACAGTTAAATGTGTTACTTTGGTAAGGATTTTTTGGTGTTTTTTCTCCAAATTGTTAATATAACATTAATTTTATCATTTAAAAATTAGTTTCTGAAAGTAGAAAAACATGAAACAAAATAATTTGCATTAATCCTCTCTCAGTAATGATTATACAAAAGCTTACTTAAAAAGTAGCTAATTACTATTTAAAGTAAATAGAATAGCATTTTAGCATTTTACAAAGAGTATTTTAGTTACTATTTTTTGGGGGGGAGGAATCTTTCCTAGCAACAGATGAAAGTGCTTAACTTTGCTCTTTTTAAAGTTCTGCTATGGAAATTTTCAAGCTATTAGGGGACACTTATAATGAGCATCACTTGTCATCACTGGGACTCAATATCTGTAACACTTTGTATCCTTAACACAGTAATGCATTTTTTTATATAATTTTAACACCAATACCAAAAGATATTAAATCATTTCAGAAAGTCAAAGCCATTTAGATTAAAATTACATACCTTAATTTTGGCCATTAACGCATCAATAGAAATTTCAAGATCCTTGACCTGCTTATTCACCTCTGGTTTTCCATCCTTCAATGCACTTACTACCTCATTGAACTTATCAAGCCGTTTTTTCAGTGTGCCCACCTTAACCAGACCATCGATGCTGTAAAGATAATGCTTCGTCAGTCTAATTTCACTATGCAATACTATACATTGATTTTTCATTTTAATAAAATGCAAAACATATTAAGCAGGACATTTTACTCCTGTTTTCATATTATTCAGTATATTTTTTCAAGATAACTTGTTGAAAGTAAAAAAAAAAATAAGAATAATCAAATATGGGTGTGAATGACATTGATACCTGTCCACAGGATTGGAGCCTTCTATATTTACACTGAAAGTTTTGAGAAATTAAATTATAGAAGACTTTGAAAGAGTCACCTAGTCTCTTTAAAAGGTATTAAAGATCAACAGGTATTCAGACTGCCAAGTTTAAAGAGTATCAATTAATAGTAAAAGAAGTAAATAAGAAATAAAGACTAGATTTATAGCGAAACAATTGCTACAGATAATTCAAAAAACATTAGTAAGGTTTTTTTATATTAATAAAGTTTTTAAAAACTATGTCAACATGACATTTGTCAAGAAACTCAAGTCACTAAAATAATCAGAATAAAAGAGCTTCTTTCATTCTTCTTTCATTCCATTTATTTCAACATTTTATAGTGTCTAAATTTCTGTAAGCTTCTTTAAATCCTTTTGTAGAAAGAGGCTAGCAATAAAGTAATCAAATAATTCATTTCCAATAAATCATGCAAATAAGAGAGTAATCCATCTTTTTACAAAAACGTGAGAAAAGAGAAAACTCTGAGTATCCCCACCGCTCTTCATTATGACTTCATAGACATTTCGTATTTGAGTAATTAGGTTTTGTGGGATTCTTTAGGCACTATTAGTCATCTTACCGAGGTTTGTGTCTCCTTTTGCAAAGCCACATTCGAATAGTTTTCTGCATTTTAATGCAGGCTTCAGCTCGATATTTTATCTTGTTTTTCACTATGGTAAGAGAAAAGCATGATAGAAAATTATTCCATTTAATTCAGTCCTATAACCGTTTTAAAAACCACTCACTTTCACAAAGCAATTCTCAAGAAACATGTACTCTCATATTATACCAGACATCAAAATCAGGAAGTTTAACATTTAATTTTGTATACTTCTTAAAGTAAAAGCACACCATGTATACTACTAGATTTACATTTAAAATGTACTATTCCCTTGATATGCTACACCACTGCCTTTCAAACTGTCCTAGGCAATGTTGGTCTATGAAACATTAATAGGTATATCTTGAAAAAAAAGGATTCATCTGTCATATAAATTAGGAAAAACTAAATATTACTTTTGGAGATTCACAATGAACATATTGAGAGAAGCTTCTGACAATCCTACAGTAAAGGTACTTATTTAATATTTAACTTTAGTTACCCAGGATGTCCTAGATTGCTCTGACCTCGAAACATTGTTGAGCTTCTCTATAATCCTGCAAAGATACTGACTAGTTGCTGACTTCATCACTGAACAACACAGTCCATGAACAAATGGTACAGTACCAATGGACATAAAACTCTGGGGAGGGAGGGGATGTGTGGGAGGGAGGGAGGGAGGGGGGTAAAAAAAAGAATCAATAAAATATGTAAAAAAAAAAAAAATAAAATTATGTTTTATATTATGAAAAAAAACAAATGGTACAGTATATACAATTTTAATATAATGTGTTGTCCATCAACATGAAATGTATTAAGCTGAAAGCAATAAACTACAGTCATAACTTTGTTTATCTTTTACTTGGAAAATGAGGGAGGAAAGAGTTTCTTTCACCTTTTTTATTATAGCAATCCTTTTACCTACATTCATAATTGTCTAACAAAACACCTCAATAATAACGTTGGCACAGTTCCTTTTCATTAGGTCAAAGGAATTTTATTTTTCTATTAATAAGGAACAATATTTGGTGAGTTCGGAAGGTGAGAAAATTATACATTTAATCAAATTACTCACAATAGCTCTCTATAATTCAAGGTTTCCATAGACCCTAAGAACCCAAAAGAAAAATTCTGCCCCTCACCCTTGATTGGGGTCAGAGGTAAGTTGTCCGTACAACCTTGCCAGAAACACAAGAGAAAGCAGCCCAGAGCAGGGTCTGAGGGAGCAGAGGCAGGAGAAGGGTGAAGAGAACAGCTGAAGCCCCCCTTTGTGATCTTGAAAGACTTTAGACTTTGCTCTGCGTTCAAGGGAGCCTCCATACAAGGCTTTTAGTTTAGAGAGAGAGAAGTCTGGGAACCCAGGAAAACCATTCTGGGAGCCATTGAAGCCTCCATGCAAGTGGAGGAGGGGCTACACTAAGGCACTGGCAACAGAGAGGGAAGACGGTACAGTATTTGGAGGAGGAATCAACAGGGTCTGCTGACTGACAAGATTTCAGGGACAAGAGAAGAGGAACCATTAAAACCCTGAAATTTGTGGCATGTTATACTGATGATGCCATGCAGCTGGGAAGAGTTCTGGCTCAAATCTGAGAGATTAGGGGGTGGTGTGGGAAAGGTGGCAGGAGGGACGGGGGAGGGGGGAGAATCAAGACCGTGGCTTCTGCTCTGTTTAGGACACGATGAAATTAATTCTCCTATTATACATCCAAATTAGGAAGTATCACATACTCTCAAAAAAAGAAAATCCACAAACACCCATGTAGAAGAATCAGGAAAACAAGGTGAATAGGCGATGCAATCCCTGCTATACAGCACTCTCTGCTAGACAACTTTGTAAATCCCACACACCATTCATTTCCAAACTAGTTACAGATCCTAGTGTGGAAGAGAACACCTACATTTGATGACTGAGAGGGAGCACCATTGAACCTTCTTCCAGCGACTGCAGATAAGCCAGTGGTTGACTCTCTTAACCAACTCTGCTAAGTGGTCAGGGTCAGACTTCATAATCTGATCAAATTCTGCAAACTAGGAAACAAAATAATTTATTATCAATATTAAAAGATAAAGAGACTTAAACACACCGAGATACAAAATAACTAGAACTCAAACCCAACATCTAACTTTCTGGAAATGATCCCAAGCCTCAGTGGGGTCTACAGCAAACCCAATGCACTGCATCATGCAGCTGCCTCTCTCTTCCTTCCTTCTTCCTTCAGGAACTTGGAGGGGAAAAGTGGGAGACTCACTGATAGCAGATTCAATACTAAAATTTGGGGGGAGGGGGAATCTTAAATGACAATTACAGATGGTTAGCAAGAAGCTTTTACTGAAAAAAAGAATTAAAAAAGAAAGGTCGATATGTCTCTAAATTGGCTCATCCACATTCTCAGATCTGTACATAGCTCCTGGCCAGTGACAAGGTCAGCCATATAATGTCAGGTGCCACCAAACCTATTCCATCTCCTCCAAACCCTATTCCTATTTTAGAGATAAGCAACTGTTACCAAGAGACAGAAAACACAAATAAAAGTTATTAGGTTAATAATTAATAAAATATTTCATTTCCACAATTTATCACCAAACCACATAATAATTTCTATCCTTTATAAAATATTCCACCAATGGTTTTTAACTTTTTTCATATCATGGCACATATAAACTAATTACTAAAATTCTGCAGCACACCAAAAACATATTTTTTTTACCGATTTGACAAAAAATAGATATCATTTTGATTCATTCACACTGGATGGCTATTGTTGTGTTGGCTGCTGTCATTTTTTAATTTGATAATATAATGGAAAAGAGGACAGTGCCCCTGACTTAATATTCAGGTATTGCATGTTTTAAAAATGCCTGCAGCACATCGGTTAAAAATCGCTGTATCCTACTAAAATGCATTGAGGTGACACACCTATTAATATAATGGTTTCTTATAATCAAAATTAAAGTTAACATAATGAGACTAAAGATCTGTGAACATATGCCTTGTGCTTTTAACTTTTCTTTCTGACTGATCAATTTATCTGGAAGCAAACAAGACCAAGTGCTTTCTCTATCAGGTTGTTAATTCTAAAATATTACTATAGCCCTGAAATAAAATAAATGTTGAGTTTATGAGAAATATATATGATTACAGCTAAGCCAACAATGAATATTTACATAATCATTTTTTTCTTAAATTTTTATAGGAAATGATATGGGTTCTCTGAAGTAAAAATAGTTACAGGAAAGTACATATATTACTAATGCATTACACAGATTTTATTTCATGCCCAAAAAATGTAAAATCAGATTTATTATGATTAGTGTAGTCTTTAAGGCACTAGAGATATTTATTAATGATTTTGCTGAGTTAAATAGGTATAGTGGACTATTATATAATATCAAATGTGTTTAAAATTATGAAAATGTAATTCAATAAATATTTAAAAAGTTAGAAGTGGTGAAATGATAAACTGATTCTGAATAGCATTTAGGTGTTTCTATATTATACCTATTTAGTTCTGAAATATTCTTTACTCAATATTGTAACCTAGCACAAGAACCTGTAAATACTAAAACTATTGCTGAGGCTAAGAAAATTATGTTACATACAAAAGTATTTATACACTCACTCTAGCATTTGAGAGAAATGCATTTTAGCACAAACTCCAATCCAATTTCCCAAACCCTGTACATCTATCATTCTCTAATAGAACTTGTTCTCCACATAATGAAGACTCAAAAGTACTGAGAAGTTTCTAATTATTAAGGCTGAATTAATATGTTTTAGAAAAGCTTTCAACTGTTTAAAACATAAATATTTTCTGGCTAACCCTTATTTAAACAACAAACAAAAAAATCCAATAAATCAATGAAAAATCCAATCAAACGATGCTCTCATCCCATTATTTCCAAAGCTGAAAAGTACTGTAAAACTTGTACAGAGTATTAGACATTGTAAACTTCTCACATACTGATAATATGCATGCTGTTGGTGATCATATAATTCAAGAATAGTTCAAATCACTTAACACTTAAAAATATTCATTGACTCCTATCTCCCAACTATTCATATTCATCATGTTCAAGTTTAAAGTAAAAATGTATTTACCTTGCCGGGTCTAAAAAACACTTTTGTTAACCCAAACTTGTAGTCAATTTCATTTAAGCCCAAAGCTTTAAAAAGAGCCTGTAAAAGAAAAAAGTTAAATGACAACCAGTAATTAATAAGAAAGACACCTATAGCTAAGAAATTTCAATTCAGGTGATATTTGTACCTTACAAAACAGTCTTGGATCTAGCCTTGCGAGTTTGTCTGGCATGTATTTTTTATACATGTTGTAGAGTTCATGGAATGAAGCTCGTGAGGGGAAGCCCCCCTGCATCAAGTCCAAGACAGACACCATGCCTAGATTCATAAACAAATATGTGTTATTGCTGATCACTGCACAGCAGTCAAAAAATTACTTGCAAATGATCAACTTGACAAATTAATTTTTAGAAAGGTACAATTTATAGGAACTGCCAGCAAGAAAATAGTACATAGAAAATATTATATTTATACTTATATGTCCCAAATTACCCACCACCTCAAACTATCACAATAAGTTTCACTTAGCCATCTTGAATAAACCCCCTTTTTAGAGAGAAACTCCTGGTGTCTAGACAGCTCAAATCTAGCTTGTATCTTTTTTACTGCTACAAACCTCTGGGTCATAATCACAGTATAAAAGGCTTACATTAGGCACTTTCCAAATCCTGAGGTTAATTTTAGAAGAAGATTCCTGATAGAGTTTCCAAGTAGTAGTCAAGCATATTCCCAAATTCTCACCAGTGCTTACAGCAAATGGACAAGAAGCGCTCACTGCTTCACTATAAAGATGCTCTTTCACTCATCTCTCAGAGAAACTAGTCTACTGGGATAAAAAGCCTATAGGATGCAAATCTCTTTTCAGTGAAATTCTAATAGGGGGTTAATTTGAGCCTTGAGTCCATGTGAACTTTTCATATCAAGAAAAGCATAAAATAGTCAGGGAAAAGCTTGACTGTAAATAATGCCAAAAGCCTTTGTTCACCAAAAACAACCTCTGAATTTCAGATTCTGAGACTATTCAACTCAATGGAGAAAATAACATTATTCAGTAAAAAGTGATAGGACAAATGGGTAGGCATTTAAAAAACAAAACTAACATCTGATCCTTATCTCACTTATATAAAAATAAATTCCTGCCAGCCAAAAATTTAAATTAGCTAAATGAAACAATAAAATAGTTAAAAAGCAGTTTTTATTTTAAAATCACCTCATGGGAAAGATAGCCTTTCTAAGCAGTCAGACTGGATTTTAAACTTTTTTAATGGGAAAGGCTGGGTAAGGTTAGATAAAACACCAGTAATACTCAGGGTTGGCAACAGTGTAGGAAAACACACGCATGTTCTTATTGGGAAAGTAAACCAGTGCAACAATTTTGGGTAGCAATTTGGAAATATTTACCCCCTTTGACTCAATACTTTCTACTTCTGTGAATCTATCCTACAACTTGTCACACATGTGGGCAAACACATGCATAGAGAATGGCTATATACCCACTGGGTCATTGTTTATAATAGAAAAAATCAAATAACTTAAATATTAAAAACCATGTTGAAACCCTATATGATGTGTTCATTTAAAAGAATAGGGCTTATCTAACCAGTATAAAAAACATATCCAAGACATACTGAGAAGTGAGACTTTTTACTTATATTTTTCTTTACTATTTCATTTTTGTTACAATAACATATATATCTATTTTAAATTTTAATACCCATCAATGAAACACAGAGAAGCAATCATTCCTATGGAAAGAAATCTCTAGAATTGGATTTAGTTCTAGGCTTTGCTTATAAATAAAAATAAGGTCTGACTGATACTGTGACAATTGTTGCCCGTTATATCAAAAGTTCGCTTCCACCTCCTCTGAGTCCTTAGCTTGACCAGTAACTGCGGACAACATATGAACTGGCTCAAAGACATCCATTGAGAATTTCATGGAGCTTAACCAATTACCAAGCCAATGGCTGCTTCCTAGCACTTCAAGCTAATTTACTTAAAAGATCTTCTCAGGCTTAGAAAAATAAAAATCACCACTCCACATATTCTTCCTTCTAGAAATTCCTATGACCTGGATCTCCCACAGGGAGTTTCGTGAGGGCTGTGGGTACTGGTTATATTCAGAACCGCACTTTGCCATCACAGACCGGCAGCACAGCCCCAAGGTTACAGGAAACCTGCCTGCCTTCTCACACCTTCCCCTACTTTATCCTCACTGGTGAGAAGACGTTGATTTTAGTAAAACATGCCCTAAATTAGTTAATTCTCCTTAAATTGGAAAAAAAAAAAATAACAGAAATGGAAAGGCAAAGTAGAATTCAAATTTTAAATGTCTTTATTTTAGAAAATGTCTATATTTTCATTTCTACCAGTTATTGGCATTTTTGGCTTTCTCTCATTGCCTAGCCACATAACTACAACCATTTACTATTAGTAATACCTTTAAAAAATCAAACTATTATGAATCAGTGTCATCTATTAAACTGCCAACATGTGGCGATAAGTTGAAATACACTGCCTACTGAAAGAGGAATCGAAGCTGCAGCACCAGTAAGCCCACACTCTGCTCATCTAATAGCATATATTGCTAAATCTACACACGTTTGCTTTGCCAGCACACTGATCACATGCTGGTAAAAATAATGATTTATTATATTAGGCTAAACAAATCCTAAAGAAAAATTTAAATGACAAAAAGTCAAATTCAAAGTAAAAACAATATAAGAAAATATTACAAAAATATAACTATACTATATGTAGGAATACAGCAGCTATAAATTATTTAGCTTTTCAGTATTTATTAAATTAGTCACAAATAAATTTTCATATTTGCTAGACTATGCATTTCATTCAACAAATATTTACTGAGGGTAGTATACACCCTGCACTGCTAGGAGGCAGGGATGTTATGTATTTACAAGCCAAAACAGATACAGTTTCTGCCCTCAAAAGATTTATAGGTTAGAGAAAGGAAAAATGAAGTAATTATTCAAATACATATTTAGTTTGTGACTGACTGTGAGAGGAAGGCACTCAGCACCCCTTTCTTGGCCCCTTCCTGGTAAGGGGCATCGGGAAAGGACTTCGTAAGGAAATGACAATCAAGCTGAGCCGTGAAAGATGAAGACAAAGGGAGCAGAGGAAGCAGCATGAGCACAGGCCCTGTGAGGAGGGAGCATTCAAGGAACTAAATCAAAGGCCTGTGGGCTTGTAGGAGAGAGAGGAGAGTGGAAAGAGCGGATGCTAGGAACACATGGGCCAGACCATATGGGGCCACTATGGTTTTGTTCTTTACCCTAAGAATAATCAGGAGCCATTACAGCATGGTAAGCAGTAAAAGAACATAGCCGACTTCAGTTGTAAAGCAGTAGATCTGGATGTATGTGAAGAATAGACTGAGCAGAATCAAGGAGAATACTCAGGAAACTAAAGCAAAAAGCCAGGTGAAAGACGGTAACAGTTTGAATTAGGAAATTTAAGACTCACTGAGAGAGAGCTCTAAGGGAGCAGATCTTAAATATTCTCACCCCCCCCCCCCAAAAAAAGGTAATTATATATTAATTGATGGGAGCTTTAGCTAATGCTATGGTAGTAATCATTTTATAAAATATGTGTATCAAATCAACACACTGTACACCCTGAACAATGCTACATGTCAAATATATCTGAATAAATCTGGAGTTAGGGGAGACACTGTTTAGGGGATCACATCGAAGGGACTTGGGGACACAGAGTATACCCATGCTGTCCAATAAGGCAGCAACTAGCCACATGTTCTGCAGTTGCACTAACTAACCACACAAAAGTGACTATTTAAATTTTTAAAAATTAAAATTAAACACAATTTAAAAGCGTCGGTCTGTGGACTGAAAGGTCCCAGGTTCGATTCCGGTCAAGGGCATATACGTTGGTTGCGGGCACATCCCCAGTAGTGGATGTGCAAGAGGCAGCTGATCGATGTTTCTCTCTCATTGACATTTCTAGCTCTCTATCTCTCTCCCTTCCTCTCTGTAAGAAAAATCAATAAAATATATTTAAACACAATTTAAAATACAGTACCAAATTCATACTAGTCACATGTCAGCTGCTCACTATCCACAAGTACCTAGTAGCTACCTTATTGGACCACACAGATATGGACTATTTCTATCACCATCGAAAGTTATATATAAGAGTGAGAAGGAAAATATGCCTAATCCAAAGCCTGAAAACTCTCGTAAATAATACCCAAGTGAAAAAAGTGACTCTGCAGAGAAATCAGGAAAGGCCGGAGAATTCAAAACAAAAGCAAGGATTTATATTGTTTCAAAAGCCAAGAAAGGATTTGTAAAAAGCGTTGGTCAGAGTCAAATGCTGCTGTGAAGTTCACTAAGAAATGCAAAAATGAACATTTGATTTAGGATCAAGGAAAGCACTGGTAACCTCATCAAGAATTACTTTGTTGATGGCACTGGTGGCTGGTCAAGGTGGAAGCTGAAGTTTGTGGGGTTAAAGAGCAAGTGGAAGGCAGGAAACTGAGGTTGCAAGAATAGACTATCCTTGGACAGAAATTGAAAAACAGAAGAGTGAGGCAAGAAATATAGAGGCAGCTGGAATCCCTTCTATCTGTAGGTAGGAGGAAATTAAGACAAGGTTTCAGTATGTTGAAATGGTAATAGAGATATCCTGCTCAAAGGAATTGGTTCCCTGCCTATAACCAATATTGAAGATTCGGGAAAAGGTAGGAAGAGAGGCACATCCTGCTAATGCAGGTAGGAAGAAGTGTCTGGCAGCAGACAGGTGAAACCGTGAGGGATGTTGTTGCTGTTGTTGGTAAGAGGTGAGGCTGTCTGTTAACAGAGGCCGAGCGTTAAGGAGAGCAGGATGGGTCAGAGGCTAAGAGATTTGAGGAGAGTGGGATGGGTCAGAGATTTGAGGAAAGCAGGATGGGTCTGACTAGTTTCCATGGAGAAGGAGAATAGGCTGACCAGGAAAACATGGCAGAGTGGATTTGAGAACCCTTTACAGGTTAGTGATCATATACATTTATTAGAGGCCCGGTGTGCACCGGTGGGGTCCCTTAGATCAGCCGAAACCTGCAGTCTGACATCCCCCGAGAGGTCTCGAGTGCAAGAGGGCACTCTGCAAAGTTGCCGTCACTCAGCAGCTCCTGCATTGAGCATCTGCCCCTGGTGGCCAGTGCACATCTGCCCCTGGTGGCCAGTGCACACCAGCCAGTCAGCAGGTAGGCCAGTCACTTGGGCTTTTACATATATATAGATAATTGTGCCAATCTGTCTTCCTACTTTATCTATGCAGATGAGGAGAAAGGACAGAATTAGAATCATCAACAGCTAAATTTCTGTGAGAGGGGTCAAGGGTAGATCCAGATTGGGGGGCCTGAAGTTTTCACAACTGGGGAGGGCAGTTTAAGAAAAAGGTAATGCAGCCGAAACTGGTTTGGCTCAGTGGTGGAGCGTCGGTCTGCGGACTGAAGGGTCCCGAGTTCGATTCTGGTCAAGGGCATATACATTGGTTGCGGGCACATCCCGGTAGGGGGTGTGCAGGAGGCAGCTGGTCGATGTTTCTCTCTCATCGACATTTCTAGCTCTCTATCCCTCTCTCCTCCTCTCTGTACAAAATCAATAAAATATATTTAAAAAGAAAAAGGTAATGCATAATTACAAATTACAAAAGAATACAAAGTCAAGTGCAGGCCTGTGGAAGGAGCTCGTATAAATGAGGAACCCTGAAGCCTAAGTGACCTTAGCTTCATAATAAACCCACCTCTGAGAGGAGCAAAATAAGGCGTCAGAGAGGCAGGAGTTCAAGCAAGTGTCAGGAGCCTGAGATGGACTGGGAGGAAAGGAGAGGCTGATGGCCTGGGAACAAGCAGTTCCAGTGGGGACGGAGGAAGGGCATGCAGTAAAGGAAAATTACTGAGCCTGGTGCCTAAGACTTCTGTGATCCAGCAAGGTTATGGGCCAGGCAGGAGGGAGGAAGTGATAGTCTGACCAAATGCATAAAAATTCCACAGGAGCCAAGGACAATGTGTTTTCTTATCTTTACAAGTGGTGGCATGGGAAACAGACACCAAACCCTACCTCCTGACCCAGTTAGGCAAAGGGGGGTTGGGGGAGGATGAGAAATGAACTGCTGAGCTGAGAAGGCCACAGGAAAGAGCCCACTTAAGGGAGAGCTACAGATGTGTACAGTTTTCCTAAATTTTACTTTAATGCTGTTAAATAATTTTTTTTCACAATAACTATACCCCAATATTACTCGAATAATTGCCAGCATGCTTTTCTTATAATTAAAGGAAATATAAGGTAAAAATCTTACTACACTTAAAAATCAAGATAATTGTGAAATTTTTGAAAGCACTGTACATATTTAATTGTGTTTGAGCTCAGACTCCTAACACACACTGATACGGATTATAAAAACATGGAAATACCTGAACACTGAAGTTGTGACAAAATTTGAGCACCTTCAAAGTCATGGCTTGTCATCTTTAAATTAGGTTTTATACAACGAATAAAGCTCGCTCCCTGGGAGAATAAAGGTATTTTTAAGACAATACATATAGCATTCTCATTTTTCTATTTCTATGAATACAAGTAACTTTCAGTGTATATTATCATCAATATTTGAACCCCTCTTAAAATAATCACTAAGATATAAATAGATAGATAGATAGAAAGAAAGATATGTGAATGTATATGTGTTAAATCACTGTTTTACTCTTGAAACAAATACAATATTATATGCTAACTATACTTTAATAAAAATAAATAAATATTTGGATAAAGATAATGTGGTACATATATACAATGGAATACTACTACTAAGACATAAGAAAAGATGAAACACTGGAATTTGCCCGGTCAATGTGGCTCAGTGGTTGAGCATTGACCTATAAATCAGGAGGTCATGGTTAGATTCTCAGTCAGGGCACATGCCTGGGTTAGGAACTCAATCGTCAGTAGGGGGCTGCTGATCAATGATTCTATCTCTCCCTCTCCTTTCCTCTCTGAAATCAATTTTTTAAAAAATTTTTAAAGAAATATTGGCATTTACAACACCATAGATGGACCTTGAAAATATTACATTAAGCAAAGTAAGTCAGAAAAAGCTAAGGTCCATATGATTTCATTAATATGTGTGATATAAAACTGAAACAGTACGGTGGTTACCAGAGGGTGGTTACCTGGGGCAGTGTAGTAAAGGGTAAAGGAGGCCAAATATATGGTGATGGAAGATGATGTAGTATATAGGTCATGTATAACTTAAAACTTATACAATCTTATTAACTAATGTCACCCCAATAAATTTAATTAAAAACATTTTTAATTCTTAAAAAATAATTTAAAAATTTAATTTTTAAAAATAAAAAATAGCCGAAACTGGTTTGGCTCGGCTTGGGGACTGAAGGGTCTCGGGTTCGATTCTGGTCAAGGGCATGTACCTTGGTTGTGGGCATATCCCCGGTAGAGGGTGTGCAAGAGGCAGCTGATCGATGATTCTCATCGATGTTTCTAACTATCTCTCTCCCTTCCTCTATGTACAAAATCAATAAAATATATTTTTTTAAAATAAAAATAATCAGTAAGGAACTAAAAACTTAGCATACTTTTATTACTTAAAGCTTAAAATAAATTTCTATATTATGTACTAATAATATTAGAAAAATACTACATTTTTACTTGAGTGCCAAAAATTGTGTTGGTATATAAAGGGAAAAAAAGTCATTTTAAAATATTATAACATATTTAAACAATACATTGTCTTTAAACATAAAAAATACATTTCCTTCTCCATAATAATTACTTTCACTTTCCTTAAACCACAGGATAATCTTAATAACATCAAATAATTCTATATATTTACATAATAATTTAACTTCACATATATATTTAACCATTATTCAAAAAAAAACTTAAAGAAAATGAAGATCATTTTAAAAACCATTCTTTTTAATGGAGGAATTGGTTTAAAAAACATTTCTAATTATTCCAGATTAACTTTGTTTGAGTAAATATTTAATAATAGTTTAAGAGGACCATTTAAAAACCCTGTTGTTTTTTTTTAAGTATACTCACAGTACTTCGAAGTTTATCCAGAAGCAAATTTAACTGTGTCTGTAAAAAGAAAGAAAATCACTTTTTTCCCCAAAAATCAAAAACACAATGTCACATGTCATTATTAGCACTTTGATAGTGGAACGAAATAACATGCAATAACATGGATGTATAACACATTATGATTTAACTATTAATACTTCTGGTAGACAAGCCCTTTGACATCAATATGCAAAGTATATGGTTCTATAATGCCAAGGACAATAACTTACTTTAATTATAGAGAACTTGTATAATTAGGAAACTGAATATTAGCAATACTAAAAATCATACATGTGCACATGCAGGTGGGGTAAACAAAGAAAGTGTACAGGCAATGAAAAAAGTGAACGAAATGCTGGGCATGCATTCAGTTAAAGATCAGCAGAGCAGTATTATGTGGCAAGCTGGTGTAATTTGTGTCATACTCCATTAAGAATGAAGACATGTTTAAAATATACACTAATGGCATATAGTTAGATTGTTTTATAAAGCGCTTATAAATGAAACTATACTGCCTCGCTGTAGAAACCCTCCTTCCTATTTTAAAACATTTCACATCTCAATTATTTTTAAAAGCTTAGATAGCTTTATCCAAAACAAACTGACAATGAACACTATAAGTTACTATGCTTTCCTGTTTTTAATAATATTGTCACAAAAATTTACTCTCATTCAGTACTAATTTAATTTGTATATTTGCTTTACTTCTCTGCAAAGTAAATCAATTATGTAAAATTCTAATATCAATTTTATACTAAGATGTCTATTATACTACTCATGAAAGATAAATTAAGATGATATTTCTTAAATTAACATACTGGCTCAATGACAGCTATATTTAATCATAATAGTAATAAGTATACTTTATTGACTGCTTTCTGTGAGTCAAGCATTCTCAAAGCTTTTCATAGGCATTATCAGGTTTAATCCACACAATTCTAATTAAGAATACTGCATTAAGCCTCACTTTACAGGTGAAAACAATAGCTAGTCATGGCAAAGCCAAGATTCCAACGTGAGGCCTAACACCAAAGTTCATTCTCTTACCAGAAACATTACAGTATACTTCAGACAGCATAGGATTAAGATATAATCAATCTGGACCATCACACAAGGCAAGTATAAGAGCCACTAATTTGGAAAGAAAACAACTATCACAAAGCCCATTTTTCTTAATCCATAGACTAAGCACAATATTCTCCAAGAAAATAGAGATAGAGGAAATCAGAAAAAAATAGAAACAGCAAAAATTAACTAATAGTGCTTATAAATGAGAAAATGGGGGCGGAAATGTCAAATATCAAAGAACAGCAGTCAGGGACCATGGGCATAATGTACATAATGACAGAATGTTATTTTTCCATCAAAAAGGATTACTTTTACTAAAAACAATAACAGTAAAAGTTATGTTTCAATAACCTAAATATGTTACTTTTCAATGGAAAACTTCTGCTATCAGTGATGTTGGACAACTAAAATATAGTAAATGCTAGTGCCTGTTTTGTTTTTTATTGCCTCACATACCTTGAATTCAATGAGCTATTCTATTAAATTTTAAATTAAGATTATTAATATTCATTTTAAAGTATCTCATAAAAACATTTTACATTTTATTATTAACTAGAGGCCTGGTGCACGAAATTCATGCGTGGAGGGTGGGTGTCCCTCAGCCCAGCCTGCACCATCTCTAATCTGGGACCCTTTGAGGGATGACCAAAGGCTGGGATCAGGCCTAAAAGGACTGTTGGACATTCCTCACAATTAAGAATTGCTGGCTCCCAACTGCCCTCCCCTATAGCATGGTCCCCCCCAACTGCCCTCCCCTACTGGCCTGGTCCACCCCCAACTGCCCTCCCCTACTGGCCTGGTCCACCCCCAACTGCCCTCCCCTACAGCATTGGTCCTCCCCAACTGCCCTCCCCTGCTGGCCTGGTCTCCCCAAATTGCCCTCCTCTGCAATCCCGGCCCCCTCCCAGCTACCCTCCTCTACCGACCTAGTCCCCCCCAACTGCCCTACCCTGCAGGCCTGGTCTTCCCCAACTGCCCTTGTCCACAGGCCTGGGTCTCCCCAAACTGTCCTCCACTGCAGGCCTGGTTCCCCCCCAACTGTCCTCTCCTGCTGACCTGGTCCCCTCCAACTGCCCTCCCATGCTGGAATGGTCTCCCCAACTGCCATCCTCTGCTGGCCTGGTCACCACTAACTTCCCACAACTGTCCTACCCTGCTGGCCATCTTGTAGTGGCCATCTTGTGGTGGCCATCTTGTGTCTTGGTGTGATGGTCAATTTGCATATTACTCTTTCATTAGATAAATTATCTTACTCAGTTATGGCTTTCAGCAGTTTAATGTACAAAATACATCTTACTGCAAAAAGCAATTTTAAGGCACTTCAAGTTTCAACATAAAAGAATAAGGATTTTAAGAATGTTTTTGTTTTATTTATATTGTATAAAATTTCAGGTATGGTCTCACCAGCAACAGTAGTATATTCCATTATAGTAGGAAAATCCTTAATAAATGATATCCATTTCACTAAATTAATGTTGTTACATATCTTTTCAGCAATTTCAGAATATCCAAATAAGAGAAAAAATATTGCTCGAGAAAATTAGACACTCATAATCAATAAATAGAGATTATAACAAAATTAAAAACCTTTTATTCAGTTACCTGAAAATGTAACTGGACATATTAATCTTTCTCCTACATTTATGATTTGGCTTCCAGGTCACTACTCCCCGAATCGGTTAAGGCCCACCCTCCATAAGACAAAGAGAGAGGAGATGTTGGGAGCCAGCAGAGTTGATACAAGCAACTCCATCTTAGAAAATACAACTCCATCTTGGGAGTTAAGTTTCCAACTCCTCTTACAACTCACAGTCACCAGAGAGATCACGTGGTGCCCTGCGGTTTGGCCAGAAGCTAAAGATAACCTATTGCTAAACGACAAATCCTGCTCTGGAAGATCCCTACAACGTTCCCTCCCTGAACCTCCCTCCCATAGTTTGCCCCGCCTTGGAATGTCCCGGCGGCAACCTCCCCCTACAGCCTGTGTATGTGTATATATATATATATATATATATATATATATATATATATATATATATTGCAGCTTCAACAATAAAATTCGAGGCTTGATCAGAAAAAAAAAAAAATTTATAAACATGACTTTATCGAGTTAGTTATTTAGAGCCCATTTCAATCCATAAGGGATTTCCAGAGGCCTTATACCTGAATACCATAGTATTCTATATTATTTCTAATTGCATCATTTTTAATATTTAAAGTACACAGAATGAAAATCATATGTAGAGTTTTCTTGCAAACATAACAATGCATCATGGAAATTTATGAGAGAAATTAATTCTATTTCTTTGTTCTATGTGTTTTAATCTTTTAGTCATTACACTTTTAATTATCTTATTCTATACTAAATATTCAACAATTAGAACCAATTAGTATAGTGTTCCATTTCTAAGACACATCATTTGATAATTCCTTGTCATACCCTTAAGAATAAATTCCTGGTCCATAATTAATAAAACACATAAAATGGTCTTCAATGTTAAGCAATTTAAAAGGTTTGCCACTCAGAGCACTCATCTTTTAGATTTTTTTTTAAGCTTTAGTCAAATTTTAGCATAATATGCACAGCCACAATGCACTGAGAAAACACACTAAAAATGAATCATAAATATAATCGGCAACTTGAGACAGCCTCTTTTGCACATGGCAGCCACTCTACAGATAAGAGTCCATGAAGGTGATCATTTACCTGAAGCCCTTGGCTGCGCCTGCTTTTCCTCTCAACTCAACTAGTGTTCTCTAGCCATCCCGAGCTGGACTGACTACTCCAGCTAAAACAAACTGCTGAATGAGGAAGGAAACAGAAAACATATGGGAAAGAGAAGGTTTGAAGGTCAAACAGACAGTAAGCAGAAGAACATTAGGAGAAGCAATCCAGTTTGTTAAGCACCAAGAAAGAAGACACTCATAAAATTACAAGAATTTCTTTATGTTCAATCACTACACTTATTTGGGTGTGTTTTATTTTTATTGTTGTTTTTTGTTTTTTGGTTTTTGGTTTTTTGCATACAGATCCTATCAACAATGCAGGATCTGCTCTGAACTTCACTCATGGGATTTTTGACAGTGCCTATATTATCCAGGGTAGAATATAAAGTTATATATTTTATTCTAAATGCAGTAAAAAAAATTTTTTTCAAGTAATGTATTTAACACAATACCTTAAACTTGTTTCCCACACTGATGAAGCCAAGTTTTCCTGCTTTTTGTTTAGTGTCTTTGTTGTTATTTGTGGATGTTTCAAATAAGTCCCGTATAAACTTATCTCTGGATTCACATATTAAGGATTCAAGAGACATATGCAAAGCGTCGTTATTTTTTTCCACAAACTGGGTCTGAAACAAAGCATACAGGAATAAACGACTCAATCCATTGTGAAGATCTCCCTTAGCACAGCACTGCCCCAGAGGATGTTTGAGGATGACAGAAGGGTTCCGTGTCTGCACTGTAAATACAGTCACCACCGGCCAATGTGCACACTGAGCACAAGTGGAGCCAATATACAGAGGAAATAAATTTTATTTTTAAATTTAATTTAAATTCAAATGGCCAGGTGTGGCCACAGGTTACCATACTGTACAGCGCAGCTGCAACATCAAGTCGTTGTCTCCTGGTAAAAATCATACTTACTGTTTCGTAGCACACTGCCCCTGCGAAATGCCTGATGATGAAGCCTTCATCATCTCTGATGTTCCTATGAATTGCCAGCTTAGATTTTCTGGGAATCTAAAAAACAATACATACATCAGTTATTAAATTACCAAAACCATCCATCCATCCATCCATCCATCCATCTATCTATCTATCTATCTATCTATCTATCTATCTATCTATCTAGAAAAGCCTAAGTGACCGTTATGACCTAACGACTGGAACAGCTAGTAGCTATAACACACACTGTCCACCAGGGGACAGATGCTCAACACAGGAGCTGTCCCCTGGTGGCCAGTGCACTCCCATAGCCAACCTCCCATGGACAGCCAGTGGCCGTTTCTTCTGCACCCAGCCCGGCGACCATTGCCTCCTCTCCCAACACTGTCCGGGGCTTTCAGGCCCCAGCTGGGATGGGGAACCGGGGGTGGGTGGTGGCAGACGAGAACGCTTTTCCAAAGGGGCCAAGGGCCGACTCCCTCCTCGGAGAAGGCAGCCAACCTCCCATACGTCATCCCTCCCCTAGGCCAGCAGGCCTCGATCAGCCCACCGCCTGCCTGCCACAGTGGCAGCAAGGGAAGGAGGGGGGAGGCGGGGAACCGTGAGGTGGTGGGGTGGTGGGGTGCTGGCATCTGGTGTCCGGCATCCATTCCTTCCACACCCAGTCTAGCAACCATCACCTTCTCTCCCAACTCCACCAGGGCCTTCAGGGACCTGGGCTGGGACGGGGAGCCAGGAGTAGGTGGTGGATGCAGCCCCTTTCCCAAGGGGCTAAGAGCTGGCTCCCTCCTTGGGGCCGGTGGCCAACCTCCTGCTCCCTTCCTCTCCCCCTGGTCAGCCCTCATTGCCAGCCAGGCCTAGGGACCCACCCATGCACAAATTTGTGTACCAAGCCTCCCTCTAGTCTTATTTCGGTATCATATCTAAAAGCTTTTAAAATGCTTCACATAAAAGATTATACCTGGCCCTAAAAATAAGGTTAAGCCCTATATAATATATGATTCTAATTGTCTAATATCTAGTTTATCTTTCTAAAGGCTTCTATCCCCATCAGAGTCTGAATTCTGGAATGGCAAACTCACAGTGAGTCGGAAATGATCCTTGTGCTTCTGGTGGACTGCAGATGTAAAGTGTTGATCACTGGGCTGGGGAAGGCGATTTTCTTCATCCAAAATGTCCAATATCCCCACTAATTTTGCTTCAACTAAATCTATTTCAAAAAAGTAAAATACAATAAGGTAAAAAGTAATATTTTAAAGATGTGAGCAATTTACTAATCACAACTACAAAGAAGATTCGATAAGTATAATCTCAAAAACTATAGAGAGCAGGTATATATATTTTATTTCAAATCCTTCAATTTATTAGAAAGTAATAGCATATATATAATATAGGTTTTAGAAAAACAACTCCTTAAAGCAATGACTAATATAATCACTCCTCCATTAGTGAGGACAAGAAACTAAAGAGCCAGAAATTTCTCCTTTTCCAGATTACATTTACATTCAACAGGATGTAGAAACTACAGGAGCTTTTGCTTGCTTAGCTTTGTGAAACTACTAACATACATGTATTCAGAGGGTTTCCAGCAAAACTTCACTAACAGCACATTCTTATGCTCTTTTCATTCACGTTGTTTGAACTTCCTGCTTACCCAAAAATAACTGTAACATGCAAGCTGCTTAAATACAGTATATGAGAACTGTGAATGGGGCAGACTCTACAAGCTATAGGGCATGTGAAGAGAAATCAAGATTCTAACTGGTCAGAAAATTATGTTTGCGGGCAATTAGTGGTGGGAAGGGGGTCATGCTGAACTAAGCTATAATTGAGAGCGAGCATTCTGACTGATTTAGAGGATATGAAAGTGCCTGAAGGGAGGAGTTCCAGTCAAGACATCAAATCACAGAGCCGAAGGCACAGGATTCAGGGAAAGGACATGGTCCATGAAGGGAAAGTGGAGTGGGCCGGGGAGGGTGTGAAAGTGCTATGAGAAGTAATACTACTATAAAGAATTATTATAATAATACTATCTTGTCCGAATCTGTAAGTAGTATGAGAAGTAATACTACTATAAAGAATTATTATTATAATACTATCTTGTCCGAATCTGGCACTTAAGTTAATGAATCAACTGTCAAAATGGGTTTTCAAAACTGTTACTGGACGGAACAGGGTCCAATTAACTCATTAGTTGTCAATGAAAAGACAATCCCAATTAGGTTTTAGGAGAGTGTATTTTATTGCAAGTCAGCAGGCAAGAATACACTTCCCAGAGTGACACATCCCGAACTAAGGATCAGACTTGGCCTTGTTCAGGGAAAACACCAAGGTGAGCTTTATCATCACATGTACAGGTGGGGACACGACTGTGCATGCCCAGTTAGAAAAGAGATCTATACAAGCATTCCATGTTTTTAAAAATGGCAGGAAAAGCTCTGCCCCTGGGAGGAGATGTTAGTTTTACAGTATGAGGATATAATGAGAACATTTCATGAAGTCAGTACAGAGTCTTCCTGGTGGCTTCAGCCAGGCCCGGGCAGCTGGAGCCGGATTAGCACCCTGGATCTGCAAATCATTCTGGCTGATCTCTACACAGCAGGTCTGACAATCGTCAATGTCAGGGATGGCGCAGGTGTGGAAAGAATTTTGCCTAACTGAGTCTCAGCTCTTCTGCTAAACTTAGCAAATCAAAGGATATGGTTACACAAACCTTATAGCATCCAGGGTGACCTAAATAGGTTTATATGTTAATCTACACAAAGTTATAAACTCTAAATATATGTTATATATGTGTGTGTGTGTGTGTGTGTGTGTGTGTGTGTGTGTGTGTATTAGGTTACATACAAACAAGGCTTACCAACAGCTCATTTTGGAGATTGGGGGGTTGGAGGGTGAGGGTTGGAGGGGGAGGAAGATTGAGCATTAGCCGGACAGTGACAAAGAAGTGAACACAGACAGGAAAAACAAAGGCCTGCACAGAATTATCTGGGACACATGGAGCTCACGAAGCCCACTTGCAGCCAGCCAGAGGGTGCTGCCAACGTGCAGAAAATAGAAACAGTGTCTGCAGAACAGCAGAGCCAAACTCTGTCAAACCCCACCTGGAGTCTGACTAAGTTATCAACGTTCTGAGTGAGGCAACAAATCCCTTTACTGCTTAAGCAATTATTCACATTAGTTGTTGGAGAAAGAAAATATTCCACCTGAAACTAATATAATGTTGAATGTCAACTAAAATTGAAAAACAGAATGTAAAATACCATCACAGTAAATAAAATAAATTTTAGGAAAACGTCCAATATATCTGAATTTGATGCCTTTGGTAGGAAAAATAACTTCCTAGAAATCCTATATAATAAAAGTCTAATATGCTAAGTGTCCAGTTGTCTGGTCATCAGTATAACCAATCAAAGTATGATATGTTAAGACCACTCAACCACTCACTATGACATGGACTGACCACCAGGAGGCAGATCGCTGACTGGTCGACTAGTTGCTATGATGGACACTGACCACCAGGGGGCAGATGCTCTGACTGGTAGGTTAGCTTTCTGTTGGGGTATGGCCGATTAGCACTGAGCAAGACAGGCTAGACACACCCTAGACACCTCCCATGGTCCCTCCCTGGCTGGCCAACCTCCCACATCTCTCCCAACTCTGATCATGCACTGGTGGAGTCCCTCAGCCTGGCTTGTGCCCTCCAATAATCCCTAAGACCCCTCAGGGAATATCAGAGAGCCGGTTTCAGCCCAATCCCACAGGCCAGGCTGAGGGACCCTACTGGTGCACGAATTCGTGCACTGGGCCTCTAGTACTAAAATAAAACCTCTCTCAAATATCAGTTTCAATAAATTCTCACAACTAGAACTATTGATCACAGAGCACAGAAAAATCACCAGTAAAACCCTTCACTATACCTTCCCAGATGTCCCAAAATTGGAGTGAAAAAAATATATACCTATACAGTCCTGATTATCCACGTAATGCACTTCATTAACACCCAAACCTTCTTTTTGATAGAGTTCTTGTTCCTAAAATGTAATAAGCATAATCATGAATATGGAAATACCATGTGATATAAATTGAGTTCATGTTTTGTGCCATTTCTGATCATATTTATTTGATTAGTCAAAGTACAAAGGTTCACACAACTACTTTGGGGGCTGAGAAATATACAAAACATCAGGGAAGCAAAATCCTTGCTCCTAAAGCAAAATGAAAAAAAAAAAAAAAAAATTCACCCTGGCTGGTATTGATAAGTGGGTAGGGCATCATTCTCTCTCTTCTCTTGCACCAAAGGGTCAAAAGTATGATTCCCAGGCAAAGGTATGCATGAGTGCATGCGGGTAGCAACTAATTGATGTGTTTCTCTCTCATCAATGTTTCTCTCTCTCTCCCCCCTCCCTTCCACTCTCTCTAAAAAAATAAAATAAAATAAATCAATGGAAAAATATCCTCAGGTGAGGATAAACAACAACAAAAAATTTTAAATTGCCAGCAAAACATATGATTTACATAGGTGCAAATGTTCCCTCCTGCAGATAAGCACACTTTTCTGGAAATATAGAGAGCAGCTATACATAAATACAGAGTTCTGTGTATGAGCATTCAAAGCCAATGAAAGACTAGAGCTTTGTAACGTTTATAGCCATTTTAAAGTCAAATCTGTCAGTAGAATAAACCAGGGGCCAGCACATTTTTTTTCTGTAAAGGGCCAGATAGCAGATATATTCAATTGAGAGCCAAATTGTCTCTGTCACAACCACTCACTCAGTATGCCACTGTAGTATGTAAGCACCCATACATAACAGGAAAGGAAGAAGTAGGAAAGGAAGAATTAGGGTATGTTGAGTGAGAAGCATACAGATAAGACTTTGCATAGTAACGGAAGAACATAAAACATGTTCGGAGAAACTATTTTAAGTGGTAAGTACTTGTTTTATTTGTTTATTTATGTCCGAATAGGTTTAAGTATGGTATACAGACAGGTAAAGGTATAAAAGCTGGGATTTGCTGGGAAACCGATAAAGACAAAAACATAATGAAAATGTGGAAAAGGTGAAATGGGAGTAGAAAAGAAAATCTTTCACGCTTCCAGTTCAGATACAGTGGAGAACAGAACTTAGAACTTAGTGATGATATGAGAGAACACGGTGCTGGGGCAGCAGCCGGGAAGGTGGGCTCACCCTGCAGAGGTCACTGCTCTGGGAATCGCTTCATCTGTAAAATAAAGGGCTGGCCTAGATTACTTCTGAGTTGTCTCTAACTCCACTACCTTTACTCAGTAAATCATACCTCAAAGAGCTCAAAGGAAGGAAAATCCAGGGTATTGGTAGGAAAAATAATGAAAATTTCAAATATAAGGGAGGAAATGATCCGCCTTATCACAAATCAACTGACCCTGTACTCACTCTGTACGCTACACAATTATAAAGTAACGTTCCTGCACTCGAGATGGTGTCAGCTGTGCCCACAGTTGGTTACCACAAGGAAGTTCCTTATGGGACCAGAGATGATGTCAGGCCAAAGACACACTGTTCACAGGTGACTAACGGTACACAAGACAGCATGGCAAGGACAGCACTGCCCCGAGGCCCACCAGGCCAATGGCCCCACTGAACCTCCTAATGTGGCGGCTTTCCTGCCCCCCAACACACAGAGGGCAGGAGGGAGCGGAAAGGGCAGAAGCAGGTGACCCAGAGGAAGGGTGGGAGATGCTAGCTATGGGCAGGGACAAAAGTTGACTGGCAGTGGCAGAAGTAAAGACAACAGAAACAGAAAAAGAAACAAGCAGAATTTTAAGTCTAGTAAAAGGTCACTAGTAAGAAGCAATAGATGTCCACTTATGAAGAGGTGCCGGTGAGGGTTTTATTGGGTCCCTAGGCTTCAACTTACCAACAACACTTCTGACGTGCCTGAGCAACGCTAAGCCAGGGGGACCGATGCAGGGCAGCCCTGATTCCCTGCCACTTACATCACATCCCCTCAAGCAGGATGACTTCAGCATGCCTCTGTTCCTTGAAACTTAAGCCAGCTTAATGTAGTTAGTAAATTTAGACTGTAATGTAGTTACCTCCTTCAGTATCCTTTCGTTGAAAAACTGTTGAAGTTTTTCATTGCAATAGTTGATGCAAAATTGCTCATAACTGTTGTGTTCAAAGTACTCTGGAAACATAAAACCAGAAGCAAGAGTCATCATCAGATCAACCTCATATTAATAAATTTATCTTAGGATAACATTTTTTTTATCAATGCTTAATTTAAGATTAGGTTAAAAAATAGATAAAAATATTTCTATACTCTGCAAATGCTCTTGTTTCAAGACTTAAATTTTATTAGTCCTTAAAATTTAGTGTTAAAAATACCCTGCTGCCGAAACTGGTTTGGCTCAATGGATAGAGCGTCAGCCTGTGGACTGAAGGGTCCCAGGTTCAATTCTGGTCAAGGGCATGTACCTTGGTTGCGGACACATCCCCAGTAGGAGGTATGCAGGAGGCAGCTGATCTATGTTTCTCTCTCATTGATGTTTCTAACTCTCTATCCCCCTCCCTTCCTCTCTGTAAAAAAATCAACAAAATATATTTTTTTAAATACCCTGCTTAAGAAAAACATGTTTATCAGATGAGATGTCATATCAAAAGATATAATATAAAACATAACTTTTAACATAATTTAAGCACAGGTGTTAAAGTAATCTAAATTAAAGAAAATTACTTAAAATGCAAGTGTTTCAGATTATTTTTCTGTGTAATTTGTAAAACTACAGTTATAAAAAAGTTATGGATACTAACTCATTTCTAAAATTAAGGGATTGTATTACATTATCGCCAAGATCCCTGCAGCTCAAAATGCTATGCTTCTGTATATTTTCTGTGCTACACTAAAACTGTTAACAGACCAGGAAACAAAATGTCTGAAGTCTGTGAAATCTTATGTCAGTGATAAGTATTTCTCTACCCTTGAACAAAAAATAATGACTTATACATTTTTAAATAAGTATCACATTATAACAAAATCTTGCCCTTCTCAAAATGTAAACATTCAGACCTTCCCTTGGTAAAGGTAAGCAAACTCTAAGGAGAAAACAGCACTCACACTCAGTCAAAAGGAACGCCCAACCCGATAAAGCCCAATATAAAAACAGTCATATTTACTCTGAGATTTTTACAACACAGTCAATCAGGACAAAGTAGCTTTTAGACGTTGGTGACTCGTTCCATTGTTGGATGCACAGCTCTGCAATTGTTCTCAAATATTTATCTTGACATATTATTCATTTAGTGGCAACTAATTGGAAGTAGCTATCTGTTAACCATTAACACTAATGATGGTCAGTCTATACGCTAGGTCAGCCTGTACCCAGATCTCCTCTGCCGTCAACAGTTTTAATGACTTAGTTCTCTTAATAGTAGCACTCAAGACTTCACCTTCACTCAGTTGCATTCATGTAAGAAAACAGAGGTATCTAACTCCTAACTATAGCAGGTCCTTGAATAAATTTATTTTGTTATAACTCTGAAAAAAAAATTAATTTACAGCCAGGACTAATATCTCTATGGAGTTTGCCCATTTCACTCATGTCCGTGTGAGTTTTCTCTGGGTACTTTGGTTTCCTCTTACATCCCAAAGTTGGACACATGAGGGTAACTGAGACTAAATTGTCTCAGTCTGAGTGAGGAGAGGTGGGAGGGTTGTGAGTGTGCCCAGTGACGGAAGGGTGTCCTGTCCAGGGAGTGTTTCCACCTTGTATCCTGAACTGCCAAGATAGACTCTGGCCTCTCGTGCCCCTGAACTGGACTAAGTGGTTTGGAAAATAATCCTCTTACTTGTTTTTATTCATCTTTCTTAAATGTATGCATAGCTCACATTTATTTCCATGTTTAACATTAGAAGTGATTGGGGTCTTTATTTAGAAGTTTGGTAATGTTTTTGTTACCAGAAAAATGCTTAGGAACTTAACTCTTATTTATATCAATCAGCCTATAGTAAAACTGGTTTTGTTATATATCTTGTAGCTTCAAGTCAGTTTCCAAAAACCTATTGATGATCTTAAATGAGGACTTACTGTATAGTAGTTTCAATCAACATGTTTTAATTTTAGCAGAATTTTACCAAAACCCATGAATCTTTCTTTCTTATTTTTTAGCATAAGCTTCCTGTTTAAATATTGTGAAATGAAATGTAGGTGAGGACATACAAATGAAAATTCATCAAGCAAAAGGTATTATAAGGGAAAAAGTCACTTTTTCAACTTTAAATATGTGTGAGAAAAAAATCAAACCGTTAACTACAAACATGTAAATGAAACTATGCTTACCAAATCCGGCAATATCTAGGACTCCAATAAAGTAGGATGATGTTTCAAAAGGGAAACACTGATTTACTCTGTTTACCACATGATCAAAAAGATGGCTATACACAGTCTTTGCCAAGGCATCCCGGGCGTTGTTGGCTTGCTCCACTTTCAGGGGTACCCTATAAAAGAAGACCGTATCAGTGAGAATTCTTCATAGTACTGAATTGTGAAAATAATGCCAGATAACCAAAGATCAAAGTATATCTACACATTTATTTTCCTATCATTTGTAATTTCCTCTAAATGAAGAATCCTAAATGTAAGGGGGAATTCCATTTGCCAACTGTTTTACTAAAGCAAGTTCTACTTAACAGAAATTTTAGTATATGCCATTTGCAAGAAAAAACACTTTTAAAATAAAGTGATTGACTGTCTTATGAAATTAAATGGTGATGATGATTGTACAACTTTGTAAATATACTAAAAATCATTACATTTCACACTTTAAAAGAATAAATTATCTCAAAACATATAGTTTTGAAAAAAATTTTAGTGACCTGTCGCTTAAAACAAATTTATTAACACAAATAGCTCACATAGGATGGGACCAGAGTAGCTTAATAGTTGTTCCGAAAATTTTTAGTTGTATGGAAAAATAATACAATTAGTAACTAATAATACAATAAGAAGCTGTTTCATGTACTTACAACTGTAAACCTGCGATAGCCCCACCCTGTATTTTCATAGTTGTACAAAAGTAAACCCCTCTCCTACCTTATAAATTCCCAAACTGTGCCACGCCATATATCTGTAAGGAACACCTTTAAGAGCTATAAAGTCAAGTCAATTTTTATGATGGATTACTGTGGTGAAATGCACAGAATTTTGATCTACTAAGTATATGTTTTAGAACATTATAATGAAAAGAGTGAATTATAAATAAAGATGAAGTTTAAACCCGTGTTCTCAAAAAAGTTTTTTCCTTGACAAACCCCATGGCAAAATTTTTATAGAGCAATGAGTTGAGGAACTTACTTTATAACTGTTCCTTTGGTGCCCCCTGCTGTTGTTAGCATGACTCTTGTAGTTAAACTTACTCGAAGATCATCTTGATCCAAACCCAGTAATTCAGCACAATATTCCAAAGACTGAGTTGATTTATTCTTCAGATTACAACCTCCTAATAAAAATATATTTAAAAATTTGAAATTAATAAACATTATGTAAACCAGATAGATATTCAAGACCCATTTCTTAGAAGTATATTTCACTTATATAAAACTATGGAATAGACAAGGCTCATTTACTAAAATACTAATGATGAATTATAATCCTTGTTGATATATTAAACATCTGGAGAAATATAGTACCTTACCATTAAAATTCATATGACTCTAAAAAACTTCAAGGAGTAATTTTAGTGGCAAATGTTGTAAAGCACTTTAGTAAGTTGGTGTGTGTGTGTGTATGTGCATCTATGAGCTCATACTGCTTAGGGACAGAGGAAAGAATGAAGAGACAACTGCTACAGCCTGTACACTCTATCTACAGACTTCTATTTGTGGAGGCTATTTTAAAAAGTGTTACATAGGAAGTGAGTAAACTATGGTGCTGTAGACTCTGGGTTGATATGGCCCTAAAACTTTTCAGCTGTGTGACCCTAAACAAGTTTCTTATTCTCTGTGCTCAGTTTCCTCATCCATATAAGGATAACTGTACTTACCTAATAAAGTTTTCTATAAAAAGATTAATAGTAGTAAAATTGCATATGGAGTTAGAATAGTGCCTAGTACACAGAAATCACTATATAAAGGTTAACTATTATCTTTATTATTAATATTTATTAACAAATATTTTACCAATTTTTAAGGTTTATTATGTTTCTAAATTTCTTATTTCAAGACTTATTTGAAAATGAATATGAGAATCATGATGAGAATTTTATTGTAACATGTTAGTAAACTATTAAATAGGTCTCAGGAACAACAGACCATGAGGTCTTATATGAGTAGGAGTGGTCAAGACAATTCATTGGGGAAATAATAGTTTTTTCAACAAATGGCCCTAGAAAAACAGGATAATCATATACAAAAGAATAAAGATGGACACCTACTTCACACCATACACAATAATAACTCAAAATGAGTCAAAGACCATTAAGATCTTAGGAGAATACACAATAAAAATCTTCATGACACTGCAGTAGGTAATGGTGTTTCAGATAAGACAACAAAAGCACAAGCAACAAAAGAAAAAAAATAAATTGAATGTCATCTAAAATATAATGTTTGTATTTAAAAAAAACAGTATCCAAGAATTGAAAAGCTAACCCAGAGAATGAGAGAAAACATTTGCAAATTAAATATCTGGTAAGAAATTTATATCTAGGATATATTCACTAAAACAGGTACAACTTGATAATAAAAGAACAACCCAGCCCTAACCGGTTTGGCTCAGTGGATAGAGTGTTGGCTTGCGAACTGAGGGGTCCCAGGTTCGATTCCAGTCAAGGGCATGTACCTTGGTTGTGGGCACATCCCCAGTAGGGAGTGTGCTGTTTCTCTTGTTACTATCTCTCTATCCCTCTCTCTTCCCTTCTCCCTTCCTCTCTGTAAAAAATCAATATATATATATATATATATATATATATATATATATATATTTTTTTTTTTTTAAAGACAACACAATAAATGGACAAAATATATGAATTGACATTTCTAAAAAAAAAAAAAAAAAAAAAAAAAAAAAAAGGTATAAAAATGGCCAATAAAGACATGAAAGTTGTTCAACATCTCGAGCCATGAGGAAAATGCAAACAAAATCCACAATGAGGTAAATACTTCACACTCACTATGAAGGCTACACTCTGACAGACAAAGACAGTGTTAGTAAGGATGTAAAGAAACAGGAACCTTCCATACACTACTGATGAGAATGTAAACTGGTAACTATTTTGAAAAACAGTCTGACAGTTCCTCAAAAAGTTAATCATAGAGTTACCCTAGGTCTCAGCAATGCCAGCCTCAGCATATACCCAAGAGAAATAAAAACACGTCCATGCAAAAATCTGAACACGAATATTTATAGCAGCATTATTCATAATAGCCAAAGTTGGAAACAACCCAAATGTTCATCAAATGATGAATGGGTAAACAAAACTTGGCATATCCATACAATGGAATATTACTCAGCAGTAAAAAGAAATATAGACACAAAAATAAAGTCACAAAAGACCACAGTAAATATGATGATTCAATAAATATGAAATGTGGTAATAGACAAATTGAGAGAGCCAGAAGTTAGTATAATGGTTGCCTAAGGCTGAGGGATTTGTGAGGGAATGTGGTGGGGAGGCACTGCTGAAGGGTATGGAATTTCTTTTTTGTGCTTGCAATGCTCTAAGACTGATTGGGGTTATAGATGCACAACACCGAGTATAGGAAAAACCATTGAATTGTACACTTTGCATGGGTAAATTGTATGGTATGAATTATATTTCAATAAAGCTATTTTAAAAAGAGGGGAGAGAATACTTAAATGTATTAAACCTCTAACTCTATTAAAATAACCTTACTGCTCATTTTAGTTTCTACACACATATGCATTATCTAAAACTATGTAACTGAAAAAAGTTAATAATTCATCAATAATTCATTAACTTCCTTAAAAAGTTCTCTTTTACTATTTTGCAAAGATTCTTACATATTTCCAGGAATTGTGTAAAGCTAATGTAACAAAATATTTATTTTTAAAGTTTTAAGAAGGTAAAATACTGTAAAATAATGTAAGGTTTTCATGTTATTCCCCTTCCCAAGAAGAACTTCTTTGAAATTTAAAAAAAGTATTATAAAAAAATAAATAAATAAATTATTATAATAACATATAATTTTGCTATGTGAAATTTAAAAAGCACAGAAAGTTCAAATAGGTTTTTTGTTTGTTTGTTTGTTTGTTTGTTTTTGCATTTCTATCATGAAAAAGCTTTTCAGTAACGGTGTCTTCTAAAAATCTCCTGGAGAATATTTTTTTCTAATAAAATAATTGCAAAAATATTCACAGCTTTCTCAGATTGTGAAAATGCCAAAATTGAGCTCTCTAGTGGGAGAAAAATCAATTCTAATTAGACAGAAACCATTTAAGTCTATAGGAAGGGTCATAGGAAGGATGAAAAGTAACATACTCAAATCTTAGCTATTAAAATAAAAATAACCCCTTTTATTAATTGTATTAATTTATTGCCTCATTCCAATCTTCTCAGCTTTCTGCTCATTTTCCTTTCAAATGAAAAAAATTTGAAAAGAAAAACAAAAGATAATGTAAATATGTGTTATGTGCCTTTTGACCGTTTAAGTGCTATTCAACTAACCAGATCATGCCCCATTTATGATTCTCCACATACATTTGCATGTTCTACCTCAGGATGATGAGGTAAGAAAATGCTTCTTATCACCCCTAAAACAATTCCAAAGTGTACCTAATATTCTAAATTGTTTTTGTGTTACTTAGTGCTCCCACATGCTCCCTTGGTATAACAATGACATAGAGGATATGAAATGTGTTTTAACGTTAATTACATTTTCAAAATAAATGTTAAAAATCCCTCAAAAAAAACTAATAAAAATTTAATTCACACTAACAACATACCTGGTTTTGCTTACTTCTTCTTATTTTAAACTGGAAGTAATCTGTATTTTTATTTTCCTTATTCATTAAAAATACTTATAGTGTGATTATTATATGTCAGACAGAAGTAGTCACATCATTTTACAAATATTTAACTCACTTATTCCTCTCTTTAACACGAGGTGGGGACTGTTGTTGTCCAGTACACAGGTAAAGAACTGAGACATGGAGAAGTTCCTGGCCCAAGGTCACACGGGTAGTTAACACAGATTGAACCGTCTGCTTCAGGAGCACATGCCATTAAACACTATGCTACATCTGATGTTACGGACTTCCCAGCATCACAGGACATTAAATCTATAGGTCATTAAGGCTGTCTATTTGAATCTGCTCATTCACAGATCATCACGTTTGGGAAGGTCAGTGACTAGGGGCAAAGAGGGAAAATTAATTGAGTTATTTCAACATGGGTAGCACTTGGCTCTCATATCAACAATTTCATTAACAACCATTTTACATAGGTTGCGCATGTGTAAAATGGAGATAATGTCCCCTACCTCATTATCTTTATCAAGTTTAGGGTATGATTATGATGTTTATGATGAAACACTGTCTGTATAGAGTCTTGCACACAGAAGGCACATTTTTAAATGTCCCTTTTTCCTCACTTTTATGCCCCTTCCCTATATGCATACTATTGCTAGATATTACATTTTAAGAGCACTTCTCATGAATTATTTCATTATTTTACAAATGAAAAAAAAAAAACAAAGCTCTGGGATCTAACACCAAAGCCCCTGGTATTGACTCCTTTATGGAATGGTGCTTTCAATATTTTTAACTCAGTGTAAGATTTTTAAATAATGTGTTTATGGAGGCGTTAACTGCCTTTTTTGCTAATGTCAGATTTTAGGCTTTGCTGCCAGCAGTCTCTATCCCAACTACTCTGCCACTGCAGTACAAAAGCCGGACACACAAGGCGTAAGTGAAATGGGTGTGGCTGTGTTCTAACAACACTGCATTTACTAAAACAAGCAGCTGGTCAGGTTCAGCCATGGGCCATAGTTTCCCAACCTCTGTACTCACAGAACAAATTTAAGAGTGTATAAGAATTCTTAAGGCTATATATCAAGAGACTTGAAAAGTTACTATCATGCATGCACTTAAATGCTCTTTTCAATATGCACAAAGTTCAACCTACTTTAATTTCTTAGTAATAAAGTATATGGGCTTTTATGTATTAAATTGCCCTAATTAACTGAGCCAAATTTAAATCAATGAGCCTTAAAAAATGTCAAAATACCTTAACAGATGGTAGAGAATTATTCTGTTCATTTATTGGGAAAGTATAGTATCAGTTGAAAAAATGTTATTAAATATGACCCTGGCAGTTACTTGTCCTTCTTAAAGTGAGTGTATTCCTCATCAGAACTAATAGTGACAGACAATGCAGCATCCTTCATTTGTACGACTCACCAATCAACAGTAAATTCTAGAAATTTCAGGGTATTAACAAACCTGCACATGGGTTCAATTTACATCTTACAAAGAAATGACAGAACCTCTAGTTTTACTTCTTAAAAAAAAAAAAAAAAAAGGAAACAAAAAAACCCACAAAGATACCTGAAGTGCTTCCAGCTTCCTCAAAATCAATATTTCCAAGGTGTAGGACACCAGCTACTACCCGGAACAAATCAAGCTTTTCTTCATCATCCAAACCAATCTTTTTCATGGCTGTGCACATTCTATTGAAATCTCCATGGTCATCTAACAAAGGATCTTTCAAGGAACCTGCTTTAAGATACTATAAAATAAGAAGACATCAATTAGTTGCATTCTACATTATTTAAGCATACTAAAAGAAACATTACACAAAATCTACTGATGCACTATATAACATGCAAAAATAAAATGTGCTGACGGAAAAACGTCAATATTCTAATATTCAAAAACTGAATGGCTACGCAAAGTGTACACAGAATCTCTCTGTATAATTCTTTCAACTGCATTTGAATAAATATTTCAGTCAAAAATGGAATAAGTACCCTAGCTTGTTTAGCTCAGTGGGCAGAGCATCTCCCTGTGGACTGAAAGGTCCAAGGTTCTATTCCAGTCAAGGGCATGCAGGAGGCAGCCAATCAATGATTATCTCTCATCATTGATGTTTCTCTCTCTCTCTTCCTCTCCTTCCCTCTCTAAAATCAATTTAAAAATACTAAAAAACAGAATGTTTTCTAATTTAATTACCATATAACTCTAAAGCATATAATGCTAGGGTATTAGATAAAAATAAAAATTTAGTAAAAAAGAATGGAAGATTAATGGTTGAAATGAATCAACATGAACCATAGGTCAAAATGAACAAAGGCAAAAAAAAATTGTAAAAAAAAAAAAAAAGGTTTTAATCTGTCACTTAGCATTATACCCCTTTAGGTTAACTGCCATCAACTGCACTAATATTCAACAGTAGTAAATAGCGGACAGGCTAATAAGTTTTCATGTCCTGAGAATTGCTTTTTAAATCTTTCTGTATAAATATAAATGAGATAAAATGTATTAGTAAGCATTATGCTTACTCTAAGAACTTATGCAATGACTGAAAACATTTTAGGAAAAAAATGAAGAGAAAATTTTCTTTCTCTCCTAAAAACAAACAAACATGCATCTAAAATATTCATTTGTTAGAACTTATAACAAACTCAGAAAAAGGAAGGAAAAATCAGGCCTGCAAAAACTAAAATGAGAAAAACGAAAGTTACTGGGCATAGAAAGGTTGGACTAGAAATTTTCCAGAACTTGAGAATCAATAAGTAAAATTAAACATTAGGTAACAGCATGAGAATTAATTGGCCATTAAAGACGCCTCTAGGACATGTTTCTTCTCCTCTGGGGACCCACCGCTTCTCAGCTAAAGTTGATTGCCTTCCACAAAATTCTTTAAGATGTTTAATTATGTTTGTGTAAAATTTCTGGAAAATGTCTAGATAAAAAAATTTTATTTTATCTTTAAAAGCAGTAAAGGAAACCATCGCGGGCAGCCAAAGTTAACAGAAAACATACATCATGCAGAATTTTTAGTCTTGCAATTGAATAGTTACATCATTTAAGAACTGTTCTTAATCAAATGTTAATGAATACATTGCAATTATGGAAGACTAAAAATACTGCATTCGCCTAAAAATTGCACACAGCTTGAAGACACACTCAAATGGAACTAGGCAAGGTATTCTAATTAGTCAAAATGATCACCTCATCCTCCTGATAAAGAAGACATAAAAAGTAATTTAAACATATTAATTCATTGTTCAATTATGTATCTCTATAAACAATAATATAAATACGATTCCTAACAAAGTTTGCTGACATTAGAATCAGAAAGAGTACATTTTCTTCATAGGAGAGTACCATATTACTCTTTAAAGAGTAAAATCCAATTTTCTTTCCTCTCTTCTCAGATTACTCCATGCTAAAGGAAATGTTTCCATTATCTTAGTAAAAAGAATATAATTTCTATATTTTTATGATGCCTTATGAACATATAGGTTATCATGATAAAGTAAGATCTATACTAATAAAAGGGTAATATGCTAATTAGACCAGACATCTTCTGGGAGACATGCCAAACGTCCTTCCGGACAAAGCCAAGGTGGCGGGGCCGAGGCAGAGGCGGTTAGGGGCAATCAGGCCATCAGGGGAGGGCAGTTAGGAGGATTAGGCCAGCAGGGGAGAGCAGTTAGGGACGCCCAGGCTAGCAGGGGAGTAGTTAGGGGTGCCCAGGCCAGCAGGGGAGGGCAGTTAGGGGTGCCCAGGCCAGCAGGGGAGGGCAGTTAGGGGTGCCCATGTCGGCAGGGGAGGGCAGTTAGGGGCAATCAGGCAAACAGGCAGAGTGGTTAAGGGCTATCAGGCAGGTAAGCAGTTAGGAGCCAGCAGTCCCAAACTGCGAGAGGGATGTCCGACTGCGGTTTATTGGATTAGAGAGGGTGCAGGCCAGGCTGAGGGACACACCCCCCATGCACGAATTTCATGCACCAGGTCTCTAGTATCATAATAAACATTAATGTTACTTCTTAAAGTTCCAACCATGGATGTAACAAACTAAAATTTATATACGTAGTTCAGACATCTGGGTCTAAAATGATAGCTAAAATGTCAACTTAAAAATTAATTGCTTAGAATTCAAAATACTGAGAATTTTCATTGCTTTCTGTTCTTTTTCATGAGTATAATAAAGACATAATTCATCTCACTCATTTTGAAAGGTGTCAAAAGCATCTGACTCTCAAATGCAGAAGCATTAAAAACTGAGTACAATAAAAACCATGTTCAATTAAGTGCTCAATATAAATATCTCAATAAAGTTAATAAAGACAATATGATTAGTCCCTACAATTAATCCTGACTTTGTATTTTACAGTTTAAACTCATTGAGTAGATACAGATTAATACCACTTATTACATACATACATATTAAAATGTATAAGTGTTATAATAAATTTTTAGATTAAGGATTTAATGTTCTTTAAATAATACTTAATGGTATAATTATAAATAATTACTTTTAGAAATGTAATAATTAAAGCCTATATACAAAAATTTTTTATAATATATTACAGAAATATGTTTTAAAGAGAAATACAATAATAAATAAGCACTAATTCACAATAATGTCTACCACAAAGCTTATTTCTGCCTTGAAGTATGCAATTATAAAAGATATATTTTATACTTAATCTCAAGTGGGTAATATGAGAGCAAGTTTCAAAAATATTAGCAAAGGATAATTCTTAGGCAATTCAACACCCTCTTGCTGCAAAAAAAGAACAAGAGGAGAGCAATGCAGGAGCCAGAACCTGAAGCTCTGCAGATACCGGTATAGGATCAAGTACTACATACACTCTAGAGATGCTTGGATGAGTATTTACTTTTCAAAAGTACAAGCCTAAAAGAAATTTTATGTGGGCTCCAAAATAAAAAATACATATTTTAGCACAATTTGGGGGGTATTAAAGATTTTAATTTTTTTAAAAAGTCTACTATACCTCAGGACTTTTTCTGTTCTGCAAAATTTGCTTGTCAGTTTCCTTGTTAGCAAAGTATCTAGTGCAGCCTCGGTTTAAATACTATAACAAAGAAATGTAAAATATAATTAACAAGTATGATCCTCAGGAAAATAGTTCAGGAGACAACACAACTTATCAAGTAGCGGTAACCATAAAGAATCTCTAAACCTAACCTCTCACGGAAAATCAGTACTTCTATAAAAGCATTTTACTCCTACTAATCAAACCAGGGATATTGAAAATCCCAATTCCTCACAGTACATTACATTTTATGATTAACATGAAAATCAATACCATAAAGCTTTTCTATATTTAAAGGGCAGCAATTTAAAATATTCACAGTGTCGCCGAGGCCGGTTTGGCTCAATGGATAGAGCGTCGGCTTGGGGACTGAGGGGATCCAGGTTCGATTCTGGTCAGGGGCATGTGCCCTGGTTGCGGGCATATCCCCAGTGGGGGGTGTGCAGGAGGTGGCTGATCGATGACTCTCTCTCATCAGTGTTTCTGGCTCTCTATCTCTCTCCCTTCCTCTCTGTATAAAATCAATAAAATATATTTTAAATAAATAAATAAATAAAATATTCACAGTATTATATCTTCATACCTACTACAGATAATAATGAAAATCACCTTCTTACTAAATGTGTAAAAGAGTCTCAAATAATTTAAGACCCATACAGTGTGGTTAAATATTTCAAGTAAATAATTAACAAATATTATCTTTGAATTTCTTAATTTTTTATTTTTAGAACTAATTCTTTAAAACATGCCTTTTATATTTACCGACAGTTAACACTGACTACACATAAATTATAATACTTGCTATAATAACCTTCATATTCAAATAACAGTTTCAGCTTTTATCTCAAGGATTTTCTTTGTTGCCCGGAAACCTTTTAAAGGCTATGTGCTTTTAAAACATAAAACAAAGGGAATAGTTGGAAGAAAATAATATTATAACTGAAACCGGTTTGGCTCAATGGATAGAGCGTAGGCTTGGGGACTGAAGGGTCCCGGGTTCGATTCTGGTCAAGGGCATGTACCTTGGCTGCAGGCATATCCCCAGTAGGGGGTGTGCAAGAGGCAGCTGATCAATGACTCTCTCTCATCGATGTTTCTAACTATCTCTCTCCCTTCCTCTCTGTAAAAAATCAATAAAATATTTTTTTAAATAAAATATTATATTGGTCTCAAAGAGAATCTATTACCCACCTTTAAGGGAGTGGAGGTAGGGGCAGGAAGAAAGTACACATTTTGGAACAAAATGACAAATTAAAAAAAAAAAAAAAAAAAAACAGCTCAACGCCTCTTAAATCAGGTCACTGTGATTCCATTGGCATGTATTCCAAGATTTAAAATACCACATTATATAGATAACAAGGGGAGATATTATAGTATATTTTTAAATAAATTAATATTTTAGATGATCAGTGCATCCATCTATCTTTCCCCCTCCATTATAATGAAATATTAAAATTGGTAAAAAACAGAAAATGTTGTTAATAAGTTTGTTTTCTACTTTAGAAACTTTGAGGAGAAAATAAAAGAGAAGGGAGGGGGAATAATAGTGGTAAGTATTTTCAATGAACTATTAAAAAAAAAAAAAAAGCTCTAATATTTAGTAAGATAACAGTAGCTTAAACATACAGCCCAAACAAATGTTTTCTTTAGTAGCAAGAAATGTTTTTATCAATTACTTGGCTATTGGACAGATGAACTTAATATTACAACCTAGGAAATATACTTGTGTCTTCCAAGTTTCTGTAAATAGAAAGTTGTAACTATTCTTGCGACCCATCTGCATTCAATCAAAGCTTTATATATGCTTAAGGATCTTTGCAGATGTATTTGGGTGAAAGGCAATGCTGTTCCTGTAGTCTCCCAACACCAAAGGACTCGCTTATGAAAAAGGAAATCATGCCTTCCAGGTCACACTACAGAGGCAGGAAACTCTCTGACCTGGTAAAGAATTTCAGTAGTTGCCCTCTTAGGATGCCTACCATTGTGCCAGGAAAATCAGTACATTCTGAGACATGCAAAAACTATGTATGCTCAAAGCCTCCAAGCAGAACTGCTAGATTAAGATAAGAGTAGTCACATTATTTTATCATTAACTCATTGAGGACAGAGACACTTCATGACTTTTACATTTCATATGATTCACAGTAATTTATATTCCTTTTCTATAAATCATTGTACAGATATGCCTCTTCTACTTTCATGAAGATAATGTGGTCAACTAATTGCAAATTCAAATTAATTTGGTGAGTTCTAGAGAAGGCTGAACATTTTAAAGGCATACAAATAGATGTAGTTATAAAGCATTTGGAAACAATTAAGTTTTAAATTTTCCAAGTACACATTAAAAGAAACTAATTAAATAAAGAGAAGCTATGATAAATACACATGCACACACACATACACAGATAGATAGATAGATAGATAGATAGATAGATAGATAGATAGATAGATGATAGATAGATAGATAGATAGATAGATAGATAGATAGATAGATATGGCATGATTTTCAAATGGAAGATTCCTGTCCTGAGAGGACTATCAAAATTACCTGGAAAATTTTATACACACTACATTTCTAACCCCCATCCCAAGACTCCCATATCTCCCTCACAAGGACACTATTTTCTTATTGTTGTTTTTCTTAAAGAATTCTTTATTGCTGAAAGTATTACATATGTCCCCCTTTGACCCTCTCCAGCCCACCTCTGCCTCTCTCCCCTGCCCCAGATCTTCACCACCCTATTGTCTATGTCCATGGGTTATGCATATATGCATAAAGGTCTTTGATTGGTTACCTCCCATCCACCCACCCTCCCCAACCTTTCCTCTGAGATTTTGCACTCTGTTCCATGCTTCCATGTCTCTGGATCAGTTTATTCTGTTACTTGGTCCCACATATGAGTGAGATCATGTGATCTGTATATTTTTCTGACTTATTTCACTTAGCATGATACTCTGCAGATATAGCGACACTATTTTCTAGCTGAAAATTTGCAAATTATGCTAGCCATTCCTAGTCACCACTTCCTGAAACTCAATTGCCTCGCGATTCCTGGCACTCGTGATTTTCCCTGTACTTCCCTCACAACTCTACTTGAGCTTCCTTTCTTGGGCAACTCTTTATCTGCTCGTCCTCTGCTTTTCTACATTATCCAATCTCTCTGGACAATCTCATCTACTTACTGTCATGGTTCTAACTTCCACCAGAGTTCCATCTCCCAAACCTGTCACCCCAGCTCTGACACTGATCTTCTGAACATTTCTGCTCAGATGATCTATAGATTCCAAATTATACTCATCCTATATGCTAAATCTTTGATCGGCCTTAATAAGGTATTTATATCCACTCAGTTTTCTTAATCAAATTTCTTAATGTTCCTAATCAAGACTCTTTCTTCTCTCTACCATAATCAGTCTCCAAGTCCTATCAATATTATCATAATATTTTGTATGTCCACTACTCTGTAACCCTGCCCTCCATAAAACAAATTCAGACACCAAGTAATTCTTACTTCAACCAGTAGCCATAGATTCCCAAACAATTTATCCTTGGCTGTTATTTTAATCTATCTCATCCTCTATTCCCTAAAAGCCAACTCTATATTAAAGCTAGGGAAAGTATAAATCTGACATCCAATTTTTTACTTAAAGCCCTTAAATAGCTCCTTATTAATTACAGAAGTTCAAACTCTCAAGCATCACCTCCTACCATTTCCTGCCTTACCATTTCCTGCTTTTCTTGGTTCATCTTTTTGCATTTATCAGCAATAACCTTTGCATCTTTCCTTCTGTATTCAACCCTTGCAAATCCTGCAGGATTCATTTGTTCCAGTAAGGTTTTCCTAAAATCCCGGCATCCTATGCATATCTATTTATCATTTCAAATACATCAGTGTGTGTGTGTGTGTGTGTGTGTGTGTGTGTGTGTGTGTCCAGACCCTAGGTTGCTCAGAAGCAGAAACTGTTTCATTTATCTTTATAACCTTGGCACAATGTCTGGCACCCACTGGGCAAGCAAAAATATTTGTTGTTTAACTGAATTAAAGAAAATAATCATGAGTCCTTTATTAATATTAATTCAGTGGTCAATTACTTTTTTTTTACAAAAAGTCAAAGGTAACTTTAAAGCTAACATTACAGAACTAGTACAAATTTCTTATTCAGCTTACATTGATATGGTTATTAACAACTACCCTTTTACCTATCCATTATATAATTCCTCATAAGGTGTTACATTATAAAGGCAACGGTAAGTCTAATAGAAATCTACTTAGTACAGAAATTATGTCATGTTACATAAAGCTATCAAAATTTAATGGAAGTTACACAAAACTATCAAAGTCCACTAAAATAAGTTTTACAGTCAAAGACAATTCAATTTGCAAGTCTTGAATGAAATTTTTTCATCCAACTTACCCGAAAATTATCTGGGGAGTTCAAATGAAGTTTTTCCCTAATATCTTCAGAAGCACCAGCACACAACCTATAAAAGATATGATAATTCCTCTCTTCTTTACCTTGAACACAGATCCTAGATTTCTCTAGAAGATAATGGGAAACAAATCCTCCAACAACTGAACTCTAAAAAACAAAACAGAAAGAAGACACATTTTTTGCAAGTATAACCGATAAATATTAAAGTATTTATCTTTTCTAATAAATATCTATCAAAAAGGTGGTAATGTTTATCAAAAAAGGGGTAAAACAAGGTAACTAAATGTAAGCTTCAAGTGTTTATAGAGGTCATAGTGAGAACATATATATTATCCCATCTATTTAAAGTAAAGTAATAGACACTTAAACAAATTTACCACAAGTTCAAGTACAGTACCAATTCTATTAAGACCCTTGTATTTTTTCAAAAACAATACCCAAACATATCATTCCCAAACTCACTCTCACCTTTTCATTGAAATGTATTTCGACAAATTTTCCAAATCGACTGCTATTATTGTTGCGAACAGTCTTTGCATTTCCAAAGGCTTCCAAGAGTGGGTTAGCTATTAAAGTAGAAATGAAAATATTCCATCAAAAAAACAGCATAAAGGAAATTTACAAAATATAGCTAAAAATGTTCTCAAGAATATTACATTAAAATTAACATGTAATGCCAATTCCTACAAATATTACTGACTATTCTCTACTCAGGCCTTATTAATGTGTAAGAGATGGGAAAATTAGTCAAAATATATTTAAAAATAAATATGTTATGGGAAAGACTGAATTTTTTAAAAGTCACTAAATATAATAAAATTTATAATTCAAGTTTTTCAATTATTCCCTACAAATGTTAAGATTTTTATAAGTACATCAGACCTACTAGAGTAGTGATAATAATATCAAAAGTAACAAACCTTTTGTGACAAAATACAGGCAACAAATTATTAGTTGACTTACTTGTCTAAAATATTTTATCTATAATAATAAAAGGGTAATATGCTAATTAGACTGGATGTCTTCTGGACGTCCTTCCTGACAAAGCTGAGGCTGGAAGGAAATCAGCCCAGGTCCCGAGTGCCTACTGGTGGCCAGAGGAAGGAAGTAGCCTGGGTCCCAGGTGCTAGAAGGAAGCCAGTGCCGGAAGCTGGTGGAAGAAAGGCCTACTCTTGCACGAATTTAAGTGCAGCAGGCCTCTAGTATATTAATAAAGCCTCCAGATTTAACATTTTTACATGCACATCCAACAAAACTAATGAACTAGTTTATAGAATTACCTACACAAGGTTCTCAGAACAATAGTTTGTAAATCTCAAAAAATAAATGTAAAATTTGTTTTTATTTTATAGACATATCACATCTATAAGGCTACCAGAGCCTATTCTTGTACTCACAAGAGTGTCAACTGTAAACCTACCAGAACAGTGTCAATTTTAGTCACATATTCTCCCTCCACCACCTCATAAAGTGCTTCACAATGTCTATCGATAGAGAATTTTTAATGAAATTTTTAAAGTCCATTTCTCTTATATACACTAGTTAAAAAAGCTTAACTAGTCTCTAAAATCCTTTTAAAGATCAGTTCCCAATTTTTTCACTTAGAAAAATAAGCAAGCAAGCATGTAAAACTAAAAGCAATGTTATCACATATACCTCACCTGTCAGGTGGGCAAAAAATGAATGCCCAACATGGTCAACTGACTTGTGGAAGGCCAGATGACTGGCTACTGACAAAAAAGGGACCTAATTATAGGTCTCCCCAACTCCTTTACGGACTCAACCACCAGTTTTTACTGAAAGATTTAATATAGTAATAAAATATCCAAAAGTAGGATAAGGGCCTCTCCATCAGAAAATTTTATTAATGCTGTTAATGATACACTCATTCCAAATGTCAATTAAAATGGCACCAAAAGATTTCTGTGTCCTGCCAGTTAACATGCGCTATCCTCTAGTAAAGGACTGTAGAAATATTTGGAATAATACTTCCCAACTTTTCTCAACTCTAGAGCACTACATGTTTGTTGTACAATACATCATGGATGAAACCAGCCTTGTGTTCAATTCTCAAGCAAGTGTGCACCGCAAATCAGAATACTAATTAGTAGTTTATTGAATTAACCCATTACTTGTTTTTTATTTATTTATTTAATTTTAAAGGGTAATTCCCTCACTAAAGTAGGTACCTTACAGTGAATATATTAACAGCATTACTTATGAGATCCTCATACTTGTGTCACAATACCACAGTGAGAATTGTAAGTAAAAAAAACTTAGATCAAGAAATGTGAACCAATTTACAGAGCCTTGCCTTCTAATTGTACTCTTCTGTTAAAATGATCTTCCCCAAAAGTACCTCAATTCCAAATAACCTTCTTGCTCTCTTCTATTTTACAAAAAAACAAAACCAAAACACAAAAACAAAGTAAAAACAGGAGGCTCCAGAGCTTCCTGTATTTCTTCCATTCACCCACAAGATGTTTCCTGTATTTCTTTCATTCATCCACTGCTATTTATGGATCATTGATATGCTATGTATCGAAGTTTAGAATATATAAACACTCCCGCCATCTTAGCATTTACATTGGTGGAGGGGAAGGAGTGATGACAGATATGAAGTAAATGAGAACATGGTATCTGAGCAAAGATTTGTTGAAGGGAGAACCTTGGGTCTCTGGGAGAACATGCCAGACCACTTAGAGAGGATTCTCGCAAACATATCTAACAACATAAAATAATAATTTTTAAAATTAACAAATACCTTCGACAATTCGATCATCAATATCTTGACCTGTTCCATAGGATTCAGTCAGATATCTGTTTAAAATACAACATAAAAATTTAGATGACAATAAATTATAATTTTAACATTACAATTGTAATATTGTTTAATACATGTAAAATTTAAACCTGAATCTTCATTGTAACTGGTTATCTAAAATCAAAAATTTATATTTAAATGCAATTATTCAGTTATAGCTCTTTAAACATTTAAATCTATCTGGATTGCCTTTAATATCTAAATCAGCATTATTTTTTAAAAACTGTCTTGGGGAATATTCTGATTTTAACCATTTGGTTTTAAATATGCCATACATTTCACACAGGAATGTTCATTTCTGCATTTGTTTACAAAGTCTTTAGTAAAAGCCTTTTAATTCAATCTCTCTGGCTAGATAAAATACAGTAATTTGCCACCGAACCACTAGGAAATTACCACTCTTCATGTTGTTACAGTGCAAGATAAAACATGACGGAACAACTACTTGCCTGGCACATTTCAAAACAGAGTAATCTCTGACTTATAAGTTCACACCATAATTTTACAGTTTCTTACTTGTTCATTTTCAAAGGTGTATATTAACCACAGACTTACTATATGACTATAACACAGAAGAGAAAAAGAAACTGAACCACTTAGAATTCCAAGAGTATTAGAAAGCATTCATTTAACAAGAATTGCATGTGCCTAACAGGCAATAACAAACTCAAATTGGTTTCATAAAAGGAACTCCAAATAGCATATACATTTGCATTAAAAATATAGCAAAATTTGAAAATGGATCTACCATGCAGCAATCTACTAAAAACTATAATATATGAGAACAACCCTGGTGAGAATTTAGAATGCATTCCTTGGACCTAGCAGTAGCTTTAACACTCGACCTAACATCCCTGAGTATGTAACTTGAAAGAATTAAACTATAATGAGTACTACTGTTCCTTCCGTATTTAAAATGCTATGATTTTAAACAAAATGTAGAGTTTAATTTTATGGCAGCACAGGGGACACACTGAAAGGAAGGTTGTGGAGAAGTAGAAATAATGCCAGTCATCATAAGTTAATGTAAAAAAAAAGGGTTTCAACTATACTAAGTGCAGGGAAATATTGAGAACAGAATGTAAAGATTGGATTTTGAAGGAATATTTGTAGATTTCACTTTGCCTAACCAGCACTGGTCTTCTCCAGTATCCTCAAAAGAATAACGTCAGAAATAGCTTTCGATCTACAGAGCTTAGCTTCCACATAAGGTGTCTGCTTGAAATGGCATCATTTACAACAACATGGATAGACCTTGAGAACATTATGCAAAGTGTAATAAGTCAAACAGAAAAAGCTAAGAACTATATGATTTAATTCATATGTGGAATATAAAACTGAAACTTATGAACACAAACAGTAGTGTGGTGGTTGCCAGAGGGAAGGGGTGAGGGAAGGAATGGGTCCTAAAATGAGGTGACAGGAGATTTGACTTTGAGTGGTGGGCACATGGTCCTAAATACAGATTTTGTAAATAAATACTCTACACATGTAACCTATATGTTCATTTGACTAATGTCACCTCAATAAAATTAAAAACATAATAATTATAAATTATAATAAAAGGGATACAGCCCACCATTTTAAACTATGACATAAAACATGCACAAAAATTCAAATTCAACCTGTTCAAATCAATCTCAAAGAGATATTTGTATCTCTTTGTTCATAACATATTCATCGCACCACTATTCACAGTAGCCAAGAGATGGAAGCAATCCAAGTGCACTGATAAATTATTGGGTAAACAAAATGTAAAATATACATACAATGGAATATTATTCAGCCTTCCTAAGGAAGGAAATTCTGACATATGCTACAACATAAATGAACCTTGAGGACATTACATTAAGTGGAAAAAGCCAGTCACAGAAAGACAAACACAGTATGATTTACTTATATGAGAGGTATCTAGAGTAGTCAAAATTACAGAAGCAGAAAATATAAGGATGGTTGCCAAGGGCTGGGCTAGAGGAAAATGGGGAATTGTGTAATGGATACAGAGTTTCAGTGTTGCAAAATAAAAAGCTCTGGAAAGTGTCTGAAAAATGATGTAAATATATTGAATATTACTGAACTGTATACTTAGAAATGGTTGAGATGGCAAATTTTGCTAGACATTTTTATCACAATAAAAGAAATCTACCTGTTCAAATCTTATTCTACATTAGCTCAATATTTCTCACCTTAGAACAAATTTTGTATTTTCCGTTTTGCCAGCTCCAGATTCTCCAGATACAATGATAGACTGACTCATCTTAAGCACCTTCATGTCGCGAAAAGCCTTATCAGCTGGAGTCAAAATAACACATAATGATAAACAATGCATCAAATTCAGACTTATTAAATGACATAAAATTCATTTACTATCCAAGAGAAATTGCTCCTAAAGAAATTATAAATGTGTCTTATAATTATAAATGTGTGCTTATAATTAAATAAAGCAATCAGCTCCAGCTGGTGTGCTCAGTAGATAGAGCGTCAGCCTGTGAACTAAAAGGTCCCAGGTTCGATTCTGATCAAGGGCACATGCCCAGGTTGTGGGCTCAATCCCAGTGGGGTACATGGAAGAGGTAGCCAATCAATGATTCTCTCTTATCATTGAAGTTTCTCTCTCTCCCTCTTTCTTTCTTCCTTTCTGAAATCAATAAAAACATATTTTTTTAAAAGCATTCAGAAGTATTCAAAACATCTCTAAAGTATTTACTTTAAATGGTCTGGCAGCTTATGATCCTGACAGCTAAATAATGTGAAAGCCAAATAAACAACTCTTATGTTTGTACTAGAATGTCTCCATATTATGAGCTGTAGCTCAGTTCTTCCCAGTATCAGAAAAGATCTGCAGAGATTAAAAATTCTCACTATAAATAACTAATGAAGTCCTTAAAGAAAAATAAGATGTTAATGAGCTATCAATTACGAGCTCTGGAAAAAAAACTGGCAACCAAAAATTCTTCTGAAGGAAAAAATACGTAATTGCAAAAATAAATCTGTGTTTTTTCTGTATATTATTACTCAATTTAAACATCCTGTAGAATTTATCAGCATTTCAAAAACAGACAGAATTAACTGCTTTAATTTGTTCACATTTGCAATTGTGTGTGTTAGTTAATTTTTAACTATCTTCAATATACTCCAACTATTTATGCTATAAAGTGTCTCAAATGTAAGACTAGACATATATAAATTGAGCATGATTTAATTTTGTTAAAGTGGTCTCAAATTAAAATATTGCTATCCTTACCAATGAAGCAGGTTTTTACTAGTGACTTTTACTCTAAGGACCAAATGCAAACTGCATTCAAGAGTATACCCATCCTTTTGACCAATTTTTCAGCAATCTGTTCCACCCACTTTGGTGGAATCATTATAAATACATTCTTTAGCAGTAAACAAATAAAAATAAAAGCCAGGTTATTTACATTTTAAACATGTAACTTCTCTCCAGCAAGGAACTTGCTCACATTCAGGTTCTAAAGATTTTGCACCATTTTGGTAGCTGACAGAAAGCATACCAATGCCCCTTAGAGCATCTTAGAATCAAAAGTCAATCTGCCATTGCACCGGACTTGGCTGACATATTCAGTCTCCTAATTATACACAGCACACAAGTCAGCCAAATCTGGAAGTTCATGAGGCCTACTGATGCCAAAACACAGGCATGAAGTGCAAGCCCAAAGAGAAACAGCTGCACTGAGAATCAGAACCAAAATATATCATCAGTTAAGTAACTGCTCGTTATGTTTGGACCCAAAGGGTTAGCTAACATCTCTGTACTTGCAGCTACCAACTATGGGTCAAAAAATTCCATCTCTCTGTTCCTTAGAACTGGAGTGCTTTATGATGAGAAAATGCCTGAGAAAGGCAAAGACAGACACTGCTGTCTTCCCACACTGATTCCCCAGAGATAGGAAGCATACACCAGTTTTAGTCCTTTCAACTTTATAAAGCCCTGATGTAAAGTGGGGCCTGGCAGACATCTGCTCTTACAGCGCAGGTCCAGCCCAAGCAACATGCTCACAAGTGATGTCCTGGGGAAGAGCAGGAGGCCTAGGCCTCCAAGCTGTAAAGGAGGACACTTCTAAACTGAAACTGAAGTGTTGAGGAGCCACAAAGAACCATGAGGTCAGCTTTTATTGTGTCCTACTTTTAAAGGCTGGACACACTTAAGAGGACACAGGCACTTAACAAAGATAATGATATACCACTGCCCCATGGTTTGGTTATAAAGTATTCTTCCCCACCCTGTGTAAAATGTGTGCTCCTAACAATGGGGCTATATTCAAAATGCAGACAGGCTCTCCGAAATACATACTCAATTCATGATATCTTCTGTTAATCCATTAAAAAACGGTGTACATTCATACACTGTGAGAAAAAATAAAAACTAAGATGCACTGAAATTACTTACCAATTGCAAAGACATGAGGTGGCATTGTCCCAAGAGATTTTCCTTGATAAGACTTTATTGTTTCTGAAGAATATATTTTAGGTATGTCAAAGTAGGGATTCACTGCAATCAGAATGTTGGCGACATATGTCTAAATAGGAAAAACAGAGATACAAAATTTTCCAATTACTATTTTCATTTAAAACTAAACAAAGCTCACAGAGGAGAAAATACAGCGAATAAGTACCCTCAATTCGCTCTACTCCCAAATGTGCATTTCTACCCCTACACATTCCCTGATCTCTACAGGTCAGCTTTTATTGTGTCCTACTTTTAAAGGCTGGACACATATTTCTCGAATGCTCAATAGTAGTAAATGCATCTTCTCATCCCATACTCATCTCATACTCAGCACATCCAAAATCAAGATTCTTTCTCTTGACTTTGTTTTGCCTCAAAGCAAACATTCTCCTCCCATGTGCTCTCCAGGTTGATGGTATCATTACCAAGTCATCACAGACAGAGAGCTTGAGTCTCTAAGCCTCTGGCTCAGCCTTCTTCTGTTAACTCTTTTTAAGAAATCTACTCTCCCAGTTCGATTCCTACAGCCTGAGTTTTGTTCATTAATATTCCTCACTTAGACTGTATTTTATTCACCCAATTACTGAAGAGTTTAATACAGCTCATAGGATCCTCTAGGCCTATTCCCATCACTGAAGGACAAGAATTGATTTAGCTCTGTGGTGATCACTTGGTCCCAGATTTTGCAAAACAACATATGCTAACCATTACCTAAAATATTGCCAGGCTAAATGTTTAATGAACAACTTAAGCCTGTTTTTGAATTTGGAACCTAACTGTGGCTTTAAAAGGCCAAAAAAATGCACCAATAGGATTTATAAAATTCCCTGCAGGCAGAAAGAGAGTTGTGGTTTAGCAATTAGTTGTGGTTTACTGGTCAAACTAGGACAGGCAGGACCATATTTTTCTCTTTTTGACTTCTAGTTGTGGAAGGGAAATGATGTGGAAACCCTGAACTCTCAGACTACTAATCTCAAATTCAGTGAGTGTTCCCAAAAATGTTCCCTGGAGTGGGGTAAAAAATAAATTCCAGATAATTATATTACTATGAAAGACAAAAGGAAAATAACAGAGATTTTAGTAACCAATGCAAATGTTAAAGTGAGTTAGCTATTGTTATAACTCAAGTCTAATAGAGAATAGATACTTCTGGATGATGAGAAATATAAAAATATCACATTTAAGCTCTTATTCCAAACAGCTTCTTTCTCTTATTTAAATTAGAGTAATAATGAGTATATTTAAATGTTGCTAATTTTTAATGGCTTTATAACTAAAAGGCATAATTGGCTAGGAAAAAAACATACCACTCTTGGCTTTGGTTAACTTTGGAAATACTGGTTCTCTAAACAGGAGCTGATGAAGCCAAAAGCCACTACCTAACAGAGGTCATTTGCCCACCTGCATACATATCTTATAAACAGAGGGTCAAAAAGCTAGGAATAAACCTAAAATTCTCCAGAGGGATATAAACATTATACATGAGAAATAAAACCTTAAATTTCACAAACAGATAATTTTTTATCAACCATACAATCCAGCAAAAATTTGTAAGCCAACTAAACTCAATGTGTAAAAAAGACAACTAATTTTTTAAATACAATTAATGTTGCATGTAAACCTTCAGTTATTAATAGTCATATATAGTATCACTGCAACACAGGAAGCATTAAAAGACCAATCAGAATCCTATGGGTATTAAGCTATAGAACAAACATCCCAAATAAAAACAAAATATCTCAATTTTTAAGAATTATGATGATTCTGTAAAGCTTTAAAAAAGTTTCCTAACTTTAAGAAAGAGACATCAATCAAAATTTGCTTAAATATGTAAGATTGGTCCACCACCACCAAATAATATAAGTTAAAAAAAAGTAGTCAATTCTATGTGAAAAATGATGTTTCTTGGTTATATTTGGTTAACTTTTGTTAAATTGTTTTAACAAACAAATTTTAAAAGTTTGTATTATTTTGCTACTTAAAGCAGCATTTAGTACACATCGGGTGCTCAATAGCATTCTGCTGATTGAGTGACTTTTGCTTCTAAATATATTTCTACTCAAGAAATATAGCCATATATTAATCTAAGTATACCCTTTATTTGAAGAAGAAAAAAAATAAAGGAGAGTGAAGGCTTAAAACTGTGCCATGTAGAACTGAAAGATGGCAAGTAAACTCCTTTGGGAAAGACTAGATTATTTCTATTTCCCAGCTGTCACTACTTGGACAGATGGCAAAGACTAAAGATAATATAGTCAGAATTAAGTAAGTACAATTAGGCAAATTGATAGTGTTATAAAAGATTAAGACTGTCATTTGATCTAAGAGGAGTCAAAGAAGCCATGTGTGTTCTTCGTTCAAAAATAATGAAGAGTCCCATCTTTATAACAGGAGAACTACAGCGGGTAATTTATCCCCAGCCAACAAAGGAATCCACAACCAGGTCATATTAGAATAAAACCTTTAATGTGCACAATGAGTAATTATAATTAAAACATATTAGTTCATTATCAATCTGAATAATTTGGTGCAAATCATTTCACATTAAAAGCATTCTCTTTTATTTATTAATATTCTAGATTTTTAAGGTAGATATCTAATTAGGATTTAATGGTATACTACAACTATTTAGGCTGTGTGGGCAGCATTTCAGTGTTCTTGATTATTTCCTCAGGTACTGCCTTAAGTGTAAGTTACATTTTTTGTCATCCAAGCTTTTCATTTCATTATATACATTTTTTATAGGATGCCGTGAATTCTTTGCAGAACAATGTGAAAAGTGAATTAATTAAACAAATTTAGTCTGACCAGTGTGGCTCAGTGGTTGAGTGTCAACCTATGAACCAGGAGGTAGCAGTTCAATTCCCAGTCAGGGCACATGCCTAGGTTGCAGGCTAGATCCCCAGTGTGGAGCGTGCAGGAGGCAGCCAATCAATGATTCTCTCATCATTGATGTTTCTCTCTCTCTCTCTTTCTCTCTCTCTCTTTCTTTCTCTTTCTCTCTCTCTCTCCCCCTTGTCTCCCCCACTCCTTTCTCTCTGAAATAAATAAAAATACTTTTAAAAATTTTAAACAGGCCCTAACTGGTTTGGCTCAGTGGATAGACCGTCGGCCTGTGGACTGAAGAGTCCAGGTTTGATTCCAGTCAAGGGCATGTACCTTGGTTGTGGGCACATCCCCAGAAGGGAATGTACAGGAGGCAACTGATCAATGTTTCTCTCATCAATGTTTCTAACTATCCCTCTCCCTCTCCTCTCTGTAAAAAAATCATTAAAATATATATTTTTTTAAATTTTTTAAACATATCTATAAAATAAGAAATCAAAACCCCAAATAATTAGTGTTTTTTAAAAATTAAACATTTTTAAATCTAAAAGATAATAGATGATGCTCTGAATTCATTATTTTATTCCACAAATATCTACCACATGCCTACTATGTACCATTCATGTTGTAAGCCATGGAGTTATAGCTGTAAATTAGAAAAGAATCCTTATCCTTATAGAACTCATTCTATTCAACAGGCTCAGATCAAATACGATTTCCTGTTAGAAAATTTCAAGCTTTACATCCTATGATGTAACATAATTATCCAACAAAACCTTAATAATAGGTAAAATACTTACATAAATTCTGTCTTTACTGTATCGAACTTTGATATTATGGAGAAGTGTAGCTTCATTTAAATACATTAGTGAACCTGAGATATAAAATGGTTATATCATTAGATATTGGAAGAAAAAAATAAAGTAAAACAACACTATCTTAATCTAAATTACTTTGTTCCAAGCTAAAATTCACCTGTTAGATTTAATTCCATCGTTTTCAAATCCTGGTATATGTAAACCCAACAGGACAATTTAAAATATATCCAGTTTAGCTCTGGCCAATGTAGTTCATTGAGTTGCAGCATCGTCCCCATATACTGAGGTTTTGGGATTGATCCCCAGCAGAGACACATATGGAAGGCAACCAATCGATGTTTACCTCTCACTTAGATATTTATATCTCTCTCTCCCCATCCTCTCTCTAAAAATCAATAAAAATAAATCAATAAACTATACCCAGTTTACATATGTGTTACAATTATATTTTTAAACAAATAAATTTCCAACTAGCTGAGTATATCTAGTGAGTACCAGGTGAGTACACATTAATGAAGGCTGGTTAAAAACTGGTGCCCAATTCAAGTGGGAAGAAGATAAGACTTTAGATAGCACTGATTGATATTAATACACTTGTGACACAACAAGGCGATGACACTAATTTAATCTGACACAGAATTTTACAGAAAAACACAAAAGATAAAATTTTAGAAGGGGGAGGGACCATTAGATCATTCAGCCAGTGCCTCACAAGTGATAAATGAAGAGAGTCCCAAAGAAATTAAATATTTGATCACTGAACAACTTGGGATTAGGAGTGCTAACTACTCTTGCAATTGAAAATCCAGATATAACTTACATCAGCTCTCTGCATACTTGAATTCCCAACCACAGATTCAAAATATATATATGTCTAAACCCAGGATATGCAGCTAGTTAATAGCAGAATCAGGGTAGAAAGCTTGTTTTTCTGATGTTTGTTCTACTGATATGTCAGAATATACATAAATATCTACACATACACACTCACATGCACAGACTGACATATTCTATTTTCCCAGCCTAATCTACTCACCCAACCCCTCCAATCCTCCAAGCTCCATTTCTACATTTCCACCACATGCTAGAATAGACAAAGCCACTCTTCTTCCCAACCATTTGGTTTCTATAATTAGCACAACCTGACTACAAACCTTAGTCAATACTTAGAATCTTATTGTTTTTTCTCCCTTCTTGCTCCAAACCAGTTTCCAATTCTTTATACCATGCAATAAAGTATGTAGGTAGCACATTACCAGACCCATGGTAGGCACTTAAAATTAGTATAATCTAAATCTCAGATATGTCTCCTCTTTCTTTCCATTTCCACTGCCCTAGTTCCAGTTTAGGTCACATTACCGCTTTTGTAATCATAACACCCACTTAACTGTCTACTGCCTCAGCCTCTCTCCTCCTTAATCCAGACTGCTTGGCACATTAACTAACCTGGTACCCTAATTAATTAAATATTTCTCTTCATCAAAAAAAGTATCAGTGGGTCTTCATCATCTACTGAAGTCCATATTCAAGACTGGTACTCAGGGCCTATTAAAGCTACCTATTCAGTTAACCTTTTCATATAATTTTCCACAACTTGCTTTAGTATGGTCTAACTTACAGACAGACTAAACTATTTATTAAACCCAAATATCATTCATGCATTGAACTCCACCTCTACATCTCAGGTGTCAAAAATCTACCTATTCATTAAGGTCAAGGCAAAGATTGTCTTACAAATGGTATTTCCCCATTCTCATCAGCACCATCACTAGAATTACTTGCTCTTTGTACTTTCTTTATGGTGTTGACCACAGACTGCCAGTAATGTAATTGAAATGTTGTATATCTGGTTTTGGCTACTAAACCTGATCTTTTAAGAGCAGGACTCTGTCTAATTCACTTGCTTCTTTGCTTGGTTCCTCATTGAAGTTGTATATATGCCTACAATGAATTATGCCTATCATACAACTCAACACCTAATCAATTCAGTCAAATAAGAGCTTCTTGCTATACCTATCTCAGACTCTCCATGCTTCTATACTCATACAGTACAGACAATTCACTTGCCAAAACACATGGCTCACTTTTCTAATGCCACTTATGGCAGAATAAGACAGAGTAAGAAGTAAGTGGAGCCTCCTATAGCTTTAATGGCAGCTTTCCTTTGAATTAAGAAAATATATGGACCCAGTGATCCTACTTCTGGGAATATATTCTAAGAATCCCAAAACACCAATCAGAATATATGTACCCCTAAGTTCATAGCAGCGTTTTTTTATAATAGCTAAGATCTGGAAACAGCCCAAGTGTCCATCAGTAGATGAGTGAATACAAAAGCTGTGGTACATTTACCCAATGGAATACTACATGGCTATAGAAAAGAAATAATTCTTACCTATTGTGACAGCATGAGTGAACCTGGAGATTATGCTAAGCAAAATAAGTCATTCAGAGAAAGACAAATGCTACATGGTCTCACTAATATGTGGAATCTAATGAACAAAATAAAACCAGAGGCATGGATACAGGGAATAGTCTAACAGAGGTCAGAGGGCAAGAGATGGGAAGGGCTGGATAAAAGAAGGTAAAGACGTTAGCCAACGAACATTTATGCATAGCACATTTTTTTTCAATCTCTTACATCTAATAATAACAGCTACCAGAGTTTAAGAAATATGCCAACAACTTTAAATATAACATCCCCAGACATGCAACATACACATAATGACTTCCGTTTTACAGATAAGAAGCTGAAAGAGGAGAGATGTGTTGCCCATAGGCAGAAAGCTTCCTACTACATAGCGAGTTGGAATCTGAACTCAGGCTCTCCTTGTGTCTGCAGCTCTACCATGACTCTACTCCACAATGCCCATTCACATATGTGGATCTTCACGGCTCCCTCAAACGTGAACTCACAAGAAACTCAACAGGACAAAATAGATTCCTTTCTCTCATCTTAATTTTTTTTTATATATTTATTGATTTTTTTTACAGAGAGGAAGGGAGAGTGAGAGACAGCCAGAAACATCGATGAGAGAGAAATATTGATCAGCTGTCTCCTGCACACTCCCTACCGTGAATGTGCCTGCAACCAAGGTACATGCCCCTGGCTGGAATCAAACCCGGGACCTTTCAGTCCACAGGCTGATGCTCTATCCACTGAGCCAAACTGGTTAGGGCTCATCTTTATTTTTTAAATGGAGAGTTTTTTATGTCAGATATGATTAAATCCATGGCAACTGGATATGACTCTTAAATATTGCCAAATACAAAATGAAATATGGTTACTACTTTATCTTGAAAACACAAGAATTAACATGGCTTGTTCACTAAATAAAGGTTTTTCCACCAAACACACTAAGATAGTTATGTCAAAATAATGTTTCATTTTAATGTAATGTTCTAAAATTAATTTTTCAATTAGTACTTACTACACAATATTTTTTAAATGTTGGTTTCCTTCAAACAATTACATTAAATAGATCCTCTTGATTCAATCTCCAAATTATTAAACATATACTACTACAAATATCATCTGATTCTAGAAGAGGTTCAAAGTAATTTTCAGAACAGATTTCAAGGTAAATTATCACTATTCCCTACATTTACACAACTGAGACAACACTAGAAAGACATTCAAGAAACTTTCACCAAAGTGCAAATATAAGACAATAATAAATTTAGGGCCTTTGAGCTCCTCCATTCACGCGAATCTTCATGTCAAAGGGCTACATTTCTCTGAACCAGTATCGTGTACCTAGTAATATGAATACTAATTTATTTTTTTGGAGGAACAATTTTCTTTTCTGGGATGTGAACTGTTTTTAACTTGATACTTACAGTTATCTTCCACATCTTTTTTACTGTCCTCTTCTGCAGGGAACACTTGGTTTATGAGAGCCAAAAATGTCTAACAAACAAAACAAGAGTTCATTATAGGTTTATAAGCAGTAAGAAAAATAAAGAAGCTTAATTGGTTGCATACATTGTAATAATGGTAATAATATGCTTTTCATTAAAATATAATACAAGATCCTACTATTTAACAAGTCACTAACCCAAAAACAGAATAATAACTTCACTAAAAAAACTTTACCTATTATAATTTAGACCATTACTAAGACCATAAAATCAATAATGAAAATCAATTAGAAAGCCTATGCTCTAATATATAGACCAAGGCAAAACATGAAGTATCTTAATATTAAATTTATATGGGCATGCTACTAGCAACTTCTTAAATAAAAATTTTAATGTTTGTATACACTATAGCAATTTTATTTTTAGAAAGGAAAAAGTATTACCTAATCTATCAGATATACCAACAGAGCACACTATTATTTAATTAATGCTATTGTTTGAATAAAACATATTACACATAAATTCTTATATAGAAATGTGCTACAAATATAAAGAGTATCCAGAACTATTTGGTCCATAAAATAATAGGTATGCATGAGTAGTATATATCTGTTATGTCACTTAAATATTATGGTAGAAATTCTAGAATTAAGATAGTATCATGTAAGAGGAAAAAAAATCTCGAATTACATCTAAAGAGAATTATTTTAACCATGTCATTCTAACAGTAATCTATAATTTTATACTTCTCAAGCAATTACAATTACTCAATTACAATTACTTTTGTGGTTAAAGTTTCCATTGATATCAGATAAAACTCTAAGGAAAAAATTGTTCAATTATTTAAAAATATTTGTAGGTTTACATACATATAAATATATGTGTATACACACACACACACACACACACACACACACATACTCGTATAAGATATGGCTACTGCTATAGTTTACAAAGTAAATCCAGGCTGCTGGTAGTAGCTCAATTTAGTCAGACCCAAATTAGAAAACTATTATGCCCTATATATTCTGAAAGTTAATAATTTAGAATCAAGTCACATGTTCTTAGTATTATAAATGTGGAAAGGTTTAGAGGAGAGATCACAATATTGAACCTAATCCATCATGTGCATTAAGTATACTAGTGGTAATATAAAACAGTCTACACATTATAATAATGATTCTACAGAAATAAGCATTATAAAGTATACTGCTAATGTCATAGTCCTATGTGCTCCTATCCTACATGGGGAGGTTAAGCCAGGGTTGAAAGGCTAGTAATGCATCCTAAAAAGCCCTCCTTCACCCTCCAGATGATCACCAGCCACCCCACCTATCTTCTCCCCTTTACCATGGTCTCAATGAGAAAGAGAAATTTGCATAAGGCAATTGTTTTCTCTCCCAGGAAGAAGGCTTGTTCTCCTACCTAGAGAAGATCATGTAACAAAGCACACAATGATCACCAGCAATAAACATCTACCGCACATCAGACTGCATCAGCTCCAATGACAAAACGAATAAATTGGTCCCTGCACTTGAGAAGATTACATTCTAGAAGGGAGGGGGAAATAAAGGTGAACAAATATCTCCAATAAAGTATCACAGGAGGCTAAGAATATATACCATGGCACCAGGAAGGAGTAATCAACAGTAAATTCTAGTGCGTGGAGGAGAAGAGTAGAGGGATCTGGTATCTGGGAGAACTTTTATCATAAAGGAGGTGACCTCAATCAGAGTCTTGGAAATAAATATTTGCTAAGCAAAGGGCTATGGAGAGTGGCATTCCAGGCAAAAAGAGCATTTTGAACAGCCCAAACCAGTTTGGCTCAATGGATAGAGCGTTGGCCTGCAGACTGAAAGGTCCCAGGTTCAATTCCAGCCAAGAACATGTAGCTTGGTTGCGGGCACATCCCCAGTGGGGAGTGTGCAAGAGGCAGCTGATCAATGATTCTCTCTCATCGATGTTTCTAACTCTCTATCCCTCTCTCTTCCTCTCTGTAAAAAATCAATAAAATATATTAAAAGAAAAAAAAGAGCACTGTGAACAACAACAAAAAGCAACCAGCCTGGTTCCTGGGGGGATTGGGAGGAGAAGGCTAAGGCATTGGTAAACACTGGAGGGGAAGGATGAATGAGAAAGAGAAAAAATACACAGGAATAACTATATGGCAAGAGTATGAGGGGCAACTGTTGATTGACAAAAGATAAGACTAGCAAAGTAGCAGGGGAAGGAAAATATCAACCTTTAAATGCCATCTATATTAGGCTCTAGCCTGAAGGGAAGTCTGCAAATTTAGAACATAAAATCAATTTAGACATTTAAGACAGCATTTTTAACACACACAAAAATGAGAAAATGTCAGAATGCATACATGCAGTAAGGATGTTTCATTTGACCAACTGTTTCATTTATGAATACACATAATACTAGTACACATACTTGCTGGCATGTAAAATCTATTTCTTATAAATACACACACACACACTACACATACCTAATGCAATGCAAAATCTATTTCTTAAATAGCTATTCTCCATCAAAGACATGTTCCCCACTAGAGTTAAACATTCCCTCTTTATGCTTGTACTGTATCAGCAAACAGAACTAACTACTTGACTTGGCCATCAATTTATGTATTTAATTCCTTAATATTTAAAAGTAGATGATCTAAGTAAAGTTATCCTTATTTGCAGATGACATGATATTGCACACAAAAAAAAAAGACTCCATTAAAAAACTAATTGACTTGATAAATGAATTTGGCAATGTAGTAGGATACAAAATTAATGCCAAGAAATCTATGGCATTTCTATACACCAACAGTGAACTTACAGAAACAGAGTTACTAAAAAAGCAATCCCATTTACCATCACACCAAAAAAATTAAGATACCTAAGAATAAACTTAACTAAGGAAGTAAAGGACCTATATGCGGAAAACTACACGACACTGAAAAAAAGAGATAGAGGAAGATGTAAACAGATGGAAGAACATACTATGTTCATGGATTGATAGAATCAACATCATCAAAATGTCCATACTTCCCAAAGCAATCTATAGTTTCAATGCACTCCCATTAAAATACCATAGGCATATTTCACTGACCTAGAAAGAACTCTCCAAAAGTTCATTTGGAACAATAAAAGACCCCGAATAGCCACAGCAATCCTGAGAAAGAAGGGTAAAGTAGGAGGGATCTCAATACCAGACTTCAAACTATATTACAAAGCCACTGTTCTCAAAACAGCCTGGTACTGGCACAAGAACAGACATATAGATCAATGGAATAGAATCGAGAATCCAGATATCAACCCAAATCACTATGATGCTCAATTAACATTTGACAAAGGAAGCACAAATATACAATGGAGTCAAGACAGTCTCTTCAATAAATGGTGTTGGGAAAATTGGACAGATACATGCAAAAAAATGAAACTAGATCACCAACTTACACCATACACAAAAATAAACTCAAAATGGATACAGGACTTAAACATAAGACGGGAAACAATAAGAATACTAGAGGCTCTGAAACCGGTTTGGATCAGTGGATAGAGCATCGGCTTGGGGACTGAAAGGTCTCAGGTTCGATTCTTGTCAGGGGCATGTACCTTGGTTGCGGGCATATCCCCAGTGGGGGGTATGCAAGAGGCAGCTGATCGATGACTCTCTCTCTCATCAATGTTTCTAATTCTCTATCTCCCTTCCTCCCTGTAAAAATCAATAAAATATATTTTTAAAAAAAAAAAAAAAAGAATAGTAGAGGCATCCACAGGCAGCAAAATCTCAGACATATGCCAAAAGAACTTCTTCACTGATACTGCCCTAGGGCAATGGAAGCTAAAGAGAAAATAAACAAATGGGACTACATCAAAATAAAAAGCTTTTTTACAGCAAAAGAAACCATCAACAAAACAGCAAGAAAGCCCACTGTGTGGGAGAACATATTTGCAAATGTTACCACTGATAAAGGTTTAATCTCCAACATCTACAAACAGCTTATACAACTAAATAAAAGGAAGATGAATGATCCAATTAAAAAATGGGCAATGGACCTAAATAGAATATTTTCAAAAGAAGACAGAAGGAAGGCCAAGAGGCACATGAAAACATGCTCAAAGTCACTAATTATCCGAGAAATGCAAATCAAAACAACAATGCGGTATCATCTCACACCTGTCAGAATAGCCAACATCAACAAATCAACAAACGACAAGTGTTGGCGAGATTGCGGAGAAAAAGGAACCCTCGTGCACTGCTGGTGGGAATGCAGACTGGTGCAACCACTGTGGAGAACAGTGTGGAGTTTCCTCAAAAAACTGAAAATGGGCCGGGACCAGTTTGGCTCAGTGGATAGAGCGTTGGCTTGCGGACTGAAAGGTCCCGGGTTCGATTCCGGTCAAGGGCATGTACCTTGGTTGCAGACACATCCCCAGTGGGGGGTGTGCAAGAGGCGGCTGATCGATGATTCTCTCTCATTGATGTTTCTAACTCTATCCCTCTCTCTTCCTCTCTGTGAAAAATCAATAAAATATATATTTTTTTTAAAAACCTGAAAATGGAACTCCCATTTGACCCAGTAATCCTAATCCTAGGAATATATCCCAAGAAACTAGAAACACCAATCAAAAGGATATATGCACCCCTATGTTCATAGCAGCACAATCTATAATAGCTAGGTAGAATCTGGAAACAGCCTAGGAGTCAGTCAGCAGATGATTGGATCAAAAAACTATGGTACATCTACACAATGGAATACTATGCTGCCATAAAAAAAGGAATTCTCATCATTTGCAGCAACCTGGATGGAAATGGAGAACATCATGCTGAGTGAAATAAGCCAATCAATGAAAAGAGAAACACCACATGACCTCACTCATTTATGGATAATAAAGAACATTATAAACTGATGAACCAAAAGATAGATATAGAGACAGTAAAGCAACAAGCAGACTGTCAAATTACAGCAAGGAGGGTACGGAGATCTGGGGGAGATAAGAGATCAACCAAAGGACTTGTATACATGCATATAAGTACAACCAATGGACACAAAACTCGGCCAATGTTAAAATATGTACACAGATAATAATTTAATAAAAAAATTAAATTTAGCCGAGACTGGTTTGGCTCAGTGGATAGAGCATCGGCTTGGGGACTGAAGGGTCCCGGGTTCGATTCCGGTCAAGGGCATGTGCCTTGGTTGTGGGCATGTCCCCAGTGGGGGGCGTGCAAGAGGCAGCTGATCGATGACTCTCTCTCATCGATGTTTCTAGCTCTCTATCTCTCTCCCTTCCTCTCTGTACAAAATCAATAAAAATATATTTTTTTAAAAATAAAATAAAAAAATAAATTAAATTTAAATTTTAAAAAATAAAAATAAAAATAAAATAAAAGTGAATGATCTCTACACTATGAATTACCTAGGCAAAAGACTGCTTCTCTTGGAGCTCTTTTCACCACTTGATTATGATTATACTTTACAATTTATTAAGACACCAATAAGAAGGTAGGGGGAAATTAAGATTAAAAGCAATTATTGAGAATTTGTTATACCTCAAAAAGTGCTTGTGAAAAGAAGCTTCAATTTTAGTTTATAGAATTATCAGATCCACAGTTTTCATGACTTACAATTTACATTTTAAGTGTTTTTATTAGTTCAATATGTGTACCTGATTAATACTCATAAGGCACAGTTGAAAGCACGTAAAATATTTAAAATGTGAAAAGGCATAGATACCATATATCAAATTTCTTCTTTGCTTGAACTAAATTGTTGTCACCTATGGATATAACAGAATACACCTAAATAACAGAATATATGTAACTAGCATGTGTACTTTTCATTCCATTCTGGCCTTCTGGTTTACTGTCCTTATAAATATGTTACACAGAAATGAAAAAAAACTTTGAAGGACAATGAAAGGCTCACTAAATTTCTGTCACCCCAAAATATGCTACTGTAGCATATTAATTATTTTGAGTTGAAGGCACTTGAGAAAAAACATGTGCAAAATGGGCACTCTGACCCTCCTTTTTATTCCTGAAAGCAGAACATAAAAACCCCATGTGAAAGTTGCCCTCCCTATACCAGAAGGAGGGAGCAGAGGCCAAGAGACATTTATACAAACAAACCTTGTCATAGTAATCCTTACCTTCCTAAGCACTTGACTGCCCCAACCTCAATTTACTGCCCCAAATCCAAACCCATTTGTCTTTGTCTTAAAAGAAATAAAAGCTTTCCACTCTGGTCACTTCTTCAGTTCTTCTTGGGAAGGCTCCCCAGTTCATGTGAAAATTTAATAAAAAATTGCATGTTTTTCTACTGTAAATCTGTCTTACATCAGTTTAATTCTTAGTCCCAAAATAAGAGAGAAAAGTTTTTCCTCCCCTCCAGGTTTAAATAAAAATAAATTGAGTTTATAGTTTTGACTCATTTTCTTAAATATGCACTGCATTGTAAGTACAAATAAGTGCTTGTTAATAAGAGAGAAAACTTAGGCACACTCTGTCTTTGCTTCCCTGAGGGTATCTTTAACTGGCCACCTCTAACACGCCACATTATATATTATGCATTTAGGTTCCAGGTTGTTTACAGTAACAGAATATTTTTCTCTGTGAAAAGACTCAGGAGGGATCCACCTTGTTTTCCTAGGGTTCCCAGAAGGCAGGCAGTCATATGGCATTAGTTAACCATGTATCAGCAGAATATAAATTATTCATGAACATTCGCGGAGCAAAAGTAAACAGAAATGGCATCAACAGAATTCAGTCAGAAGACCTTTAACAGGAATATTAAATTAAACTGGAAACTGTGAAGATCTCCCACAAAGAGAGGCCTGACATACTGAAAGGGACCCAAGTCACCTTTTCCCCAACTCCCGTTTTGCAATATCGTCTGGTCTGTGTCAAAGCATAAAAGGAAATAGATATCATGTTTACAAAATTAAAGTATGCTTTCCTGTTTTAAAAAATACATCATTAGAGCAAAAACAGCAATAGACTGGTATGTTTCAGATTTAAATATATTTAGTTATTAGAAATACATTTACTCTAATGATTGAATCCCATTAATAAATCTAATAAAAAAGCCTAAAAGAATTGTCTAGGAGGTAAATAAGCAAAATTTGATAATATAATGCCAGTCATTTTTCATATTTTTGCTTTGTAACATGTTATATATATATATATCACATATATAACATTATATTTTATAGAAGAATGTTATATTTTATCATGCTTTTTTCCACTTTAAAAAATGATAATGAAAGGCTCACTGAATTTCTGTCTGATTTTACTTTAAGGCACCAATTTTCCCCTAGGGTATGTACTTCCAATTTAATCACATAACTCACCAGAAAACTAAGATTCACTTACCAGAAAACTGATTTCCCCTATTACACTGTGCTAGGAATATCTACCTCATTGATAAGGGAGACACCTAGATAAAAAGAAACCAAATTTTGAAATCTTTCCGAGAAACTCACCTTGCCTTTTTGGTTCAAAGGTTCAATGGTTAAGCTGTCAGGGCCAATATCCACGATGTTGCCCATCTGAAACCCATCTGTAGGGTGTGGCGCCCAAACGGGCTTTCCGTCCTCCATTTCTGAAGGGAGCTAGCTATCCACTGTGTCCTGTTTCAGAGGAACAAATAAAGCAACATGAATAACTCTGAAAATACAAAACAAACACCATATCTTTTTTTAAAATTAACATGGAAACTACAATTCATAGAGACGCATGTCTATCCCTCCCACAAGTAATCCATGGCCCCTCCCACCTTGCTGCACACTGCCTCCCCTCCCCCATCCATTTTTATTGAGATAAAGACCAAGCAGAGACTGCTCTACCCTCAGGTATCACCTGCTTTGCTACCTCCTCCCTTCGGTAGAGTACTGCAGTAGAGTACTCCGCTTTGTCCAGTACACACATAGAGAACAGCGGCCTCAGGTTTTACCTATTGTCCCAGTGTGATTTATAGAAGCACTCCCTTTCACGACCTAAAGAATTCTGATTGCACAAAAAATTAAAGTCATCCTAGGGAATGAATGTTACTGTGCTGAGTCAGCTAAGAGTAGAACAATAAGTTGGTTTAGACTTGAAGGGATGAATTTGAGAGATGTGAGAGATTACGTTCTCTGGAAACTTTCCCTGACACTCTGAGAGTACAGAGATGCCTCACCCAAATGTCCCCTATACACATCTTCACAAACCGCTCAGCACACTGTTTCTGTTGGTTTCTTGTTTTTTTTTACTGAGGTAGAACTTATATACAGTAAATGTACAAATCGTAAGTATACAAAATTTGGTGAGTTTTGACAAATGGACATATCTACTTAACAAACACCCACTCAATATATCCCTCGTGCTTCCTCTGGTCAATCCCTATTGCCCACACACATCTACTGGTTTGGTTTCTATCATCATAGATTAGTTTTTTCCTTTCCTTAAACTTAAGTAAATGAAATCATATACCGATAGGATATTTTCTTTTGTGTTTTGCTTCTTTTGTTCAAAATAATGTTTCTAATATTCAACCATGTTGATGTGTAGATGAGCCCCCTGAACGACTATGCCACAATTGTTTACCTGCTGTCTGGTTGATGGACATTTGGATTGTTTCCAGTTTTTGCCTATTGTGAATTGCGATCAACTTTTCAAGTGTTCCTATAAAGCTTCTTTCAAACTTGGCATTCTCAGAACTAATATTTATAATTCTGTCTTTTGAGAGTACCTGAAAAGATCCATGACAGATATATATAGATAGATATAGATATAGATATAGATATAGATATAGATATAGATATAGATATATATCCTATATAATAAAGAGGTAATAAGCAAATTGACCATCACACCATCACCCAAGATGGCCACCCCCATGTGGTCACAAGTTGGCCACCACAAGATGGCGGAACAACCAAACAACCAGTCACTATGATGTGCACTGACCACCAGGGCGTGCACATGGAACATGATGGGTGATGGCCACAGCAGGATGGTGGAGCAGGTGAGTGGGGGATGCCAGACCAAGACTGGATGCTGGTTGCTGTCATGGGACGAACCTCTGATGGTTACTAAAAATTCTTTGCTCCCGTGTGCTGTGGTCTTGTCCAGCACTCTCACCCACTGGCAATCCCAAACACCTCTCAGGGCTTCTCCACTTCCCCCTGCTCCTGAGGGGTGACTAGGGCCAGCAGTCACCTCTCGCACCCACTGTCAGCACCTCTGCTCGCACCTCTGGTCGCCAAGTGATTGGGACCGCTCACAGGCACCGGTCCCAATAACTTGGAGCCATGAGTGGGTGCGAGCAGCAGCTGCCAGCCCTGATTGCCCCTGATGGCTTCTCTACCTCCCCCTGCTGCTGAGGAGTGATGAGGGCAGCAGCCTCCGCTCGCACCCGCTACTGGCACTGGCCCCAATCGCTCTATGCCTTCAATGGGTGCAAGCAGGGCCGGTGCCCTCAGCATATGGGAGCAACAGCAGCAGAAGCAGGGCTGATGGCAGAGAGACGACCCAGGGGTCATAGCAGGAGGAGCCAGACAGAGGTGTAGAGGACGGGTCCAGACCCGACCCTATGCCCACCATAGCCTTGTGGCCCACAGTTCCTTTAAGGTGCATGAATTCGTGCACTGGGACCCTAGTATAAAATATTTAATTTTAAAAAGACCCTTGAGCCCTAACTGGTTTGGCTCAGTGGATAAAGCATCAGCCTGCAGACTCAAGGTGCCAGATTCTATTCCAGGCATGTACCTGGAGTCACCCTCAATTCTTCCAGCTCCTTACAAATCCACCTCCCCAGAATCCGGTCAGCTTTAACTCCAATAAGTATCTTAAATCCACCCACTTCTCTTTATCTCCTCTGCCATCCTAGTCAAAACCAAGACAGCCCTTTACCAGGACTTCTGTAATAAACTTAGCTGCCTCTTGCCTCTGCACAGATGACCAGAAATCCTATTGAACAGTAAATCTGATCATGTCAGTCGTGTACCATCAGGGCAGTCCTGTAGTTGGGGGCAAGAATAGAACATTGGGGACTAGCTATGGTTATGGGGAATAATCATGCTCTGTTAACCATGATAGTCTTGTGTTGGTTAAAGAAAGGACATTCTGACTTGACTGGGAGTTGTATGCCCCCGAGACCTGGGAGTCAACGTTGAAATGCAGTCCATTCTCAAGGAGAGATTAAAAACCTTGTTACCAAACAATGGAGTCTCACCCAGCCTCCTCCTTCCCCATACCTAATAACCCCACCTTCCCCATACCTCTAACCTCTCCTTCCCCATACCTATGATTCATACCCCCCACCCCACCCCCAACCCTACCCCAGTGGTCTTTGTCCTACCTCAGTGGTTGGCAAACTGCGACTAGACTAGCAAGCTAAGCTGCAGTTTGCTGCTCTACTGACTAATGAGTTTGCCGACCACTGTCCTACCCTATATAAGCAGCTGATTTACAGGGGAGGGGGGGGATGCAGAGCAGATTTTTGTGGATGACCTGCTGCTCTCCCATACTGCCAGCAGTACTGGATTAAGATTCAATCCTGTTTCTGCTTAATTGGCTCAAGTAGTGACAGGCAGCACGGACCCACTGATTGTCCGGTTATACTCTCGATGTCCCCAAGGCCCAGCACATAGCAGGCAACTCAGTGTTCACTGAGTGCATGAATAAATTGTTCACAGTTTGGGCAGAGTAAAAGGAGATGGTAAACTAAAAAGAGTTGAAAGATCTTAAAACCTAGGTTTGAGCCAGGCCAATGGTGGCTCAGTGGTTGAGTGTCAACCTATGACCCAGGAGGTCAAGGTTCTATTTCTAGTCAAGGCACATACATGCCCAGGTTGTGGGCTCAATCCTGAGCAGGGAGTATGCAGGAGGCAGCCAATCAATGATGCTCTCTCATCATTGATGTTTCTATCTCTTTCTCCCTCTCCCTTCCTCTCTAAAATCAATAAAATTATATTAAAAAAAAAAAAAAACTAGACTTGAAACTAAGCTCCACCACTGTCTGACTAGCTCTTAAGCAAGTTACTTAATCTCTCTGATCTTTATCTTTATCCTTACCCATATGTGATAGTATCACTTACCTTACAGAATTGCTATAAGGATTAAGTGACATAAAATTGAGATCACTATTTTAATGACACCCAATAGATGGTAGTCACACCTCTTTCCCCACATCCCTTATCTGAAGCCACCAGTAAAGCTCAAGAAAAGGTCTTGTAATAGTTTGAAATTCAAAGGGAACTTACAGAATAGTCATGAAGAATCATTTAGGAATAATTAAGTATGGGGGGGGGTGTGGAAATAAGACCAAGCAAAACCCCCAAAGTGGAGAAAGAATGGCCAATTCTTTTGAATGATTCCAATTGCTTCCCCACTCAGAACCAGTTAAGATAAGAGATTTAAAGGCACACATCTAGTATTCTTCTTCAAACCTTTCATCTACAATAAAGGAATTCCTTAAAAAGACATCGGTCCACAAGGATGGGAGAACCAGAGAGGAGACAACAACATTTTGGAAGTTGGAAAGCAAATGGTTGAGAGGAGAGACAACTGACAGCAAACCCAAGAGAGGTGAATCCCCAGGAATAGGAAAGATGAAAAACAACCCAAATTACACCACGGAATATCAAAAGACATAAGAACTATAGTACAGAGACACTTCTGGAACCAAGTATGCGAATAGAGACTCTAAGGTAAGGAAGACCAGGTGAAAGCTGTTTGAGAAAGAGCTTTCCTAACACCAACACGCACACACACTCCACATTGCTGGGCAAATGACTCCCGGGCCCACAAAACCCCAAGACGTGCTTAGAGGTTATTCATGGAGGAAATAGAGGGTCTTTGGCATGAGAAACACTAAAAACAACTAAGGCATGCATGCAAAAATTGCAAGGTGCTGACAAAACTTTATCCTTGTCCAACTTTAGTTACCTTCCATGTCTGCCCTGTCCTTGCCGGGCCTGAATAAGCCAGTGTGGAGAAATCCCTTCTAGCCTTGCTAGCTGACCAAGTTCTTCACCCCCTACCTTTGACTTGCATTCAGCAAGAATCCTCTACCCTTGCTGTTTCATTGGCTATAAATCCCCGAGCTGTCTTTGCTATATTTGAATTTGAGCATGATCTCTTTCCTACACTGTAATAACCCTGTTACAGATTGAATTTATGTATTTGCTATGAGTTGAATTGTAACCCATCCTGAAATTCATATGTTGAAGCCTTAACCCACAATGTGACTATATTGGGAAAAAGGATTTTTAGGAGGTAACTGAGTTTAAATATCAAAAGGTGAGATCCTAATCAATAGGATTTGTAGCCCTATTAAATGAGAAAGATCTCTCTCTCTCCCCCTTCACTCCTTCCTCTACCCCAGCCCCAAACACTCACACTGAGGAAAGGCCATGTGAGCTTACAGCAAGGTGGTGGCCATCTGAAGCCAGAGCCTCACCAGAACCCTGCCATGCTGGCACCCTGATCTCGAACTTCCAGCCCCCAGAACTATGAGTAAATAAATTTATGTTTAAGCCACCAGATGTTTGGTATTATTGTTATGGCAGTCCATGCACACTAATACCTACACTCCTTTTGCAATAGTCCTGAATAA